GCTGGCGCTGATGTCTTTCTTCGGGTAGGGGCAGAAAGAACCAACAGCGAGGAGACCTGCGTGCATGCAGGTGGAGCGAGGAGAAACGATTTCTGGCATACTCGAAGGCACACAAAGAGACAAGAAAACCAACCCAGCAGCCAGAAGGCAACCTCACCCACGGGTGCCGGCGGCGGAGGACTCGGTGGTGGTGGGCTAGGCGGCTTGGGGCGTAGGGGGGGCTTGGGGCTGGGTGGTTTGGGGCTGGGAGGAGGAGAAGGAAGGGGACTTGGAGGCGAAGGGCTTGGGGGCAGCGGACTTGGTGGGCTGGGAGGTAAGGGGCTTGGAGGCGCTGCACGCAGGGCAAGAGAAGGGCAGCAGGCAGGGTCGCAGGGACCAGTAACTGGCCGTACAGCGTGTAATGCAGACTGGAACAACCTGCGGCCTCGGTATGGGGTCATACATTACTGTGGCAACAATACAACACCTTGCGGACAACAGTAATGGCCGTAAACAAACCCGAATACAACCAGGGCATGCACAGTAGTTTGCGCGCTCCAACTGTTTACCGCGCGCCACATGCATGCGACCTGCCGGCTTGCTTGGGTGCACAGCTGTTGACCCTGTGTCGCATGCATGCCGGCCTGGTATGGTACGGTCCCACTCACGAGCGGGCTGCGTGGCCTTGAGGTAGATGCCTTGCCCCTTGGTCTTGAAGACGGAGGGCAGCGGCTTCACCAGCGACAGCTCCGAGCTGTTCTTCAGGTACTGCGGGAGAGAATGATGAATGGGTGCATGAGCCAATGGTAATGGATTCATGCATGCATGCAGGGACTCGGCGGCAGGGATGCATGGAGGTGGGTTGGCAGGAATTCGGAGATGACGGGTCGAAGTGGGGCGCAAAAGAACCAAACCGAAGGCAGCAAACAAATTCGAAATCACAAAGATTGTACAGACAGCTGTTTGAATCATGTATCCTGTCGTGCACCTGCCTGCAGTGTGTTAAACGCCAGACAGCCCGTTGTGGCGCTGCACTGCAATGCCAGGGCCGCAGCATTGCTGCCGTCGAAGTAAGCATCCGGGAAGGCGGTCAGGCGGGTCAGGGTGTACTTCTGGATGTCCTGCCCCTGGTAGAAGCAGTAGTCGGCCAGAGGGCCGGAGCCTGGGCAAGCAAGGAGGAGTGCAACAGCAAGCAAGAAGGGGCGCCAAAGCTGTTGTCGGCGGCGGCATGGGTGTTGCATGTGGTAATGAGCAAGGCTGTCGTCGTTACGTAAGCTTGTCAACCATATCCGTGGTACGCTGGTACCCAATTTGCCGTACAACAGAATGTCAGGTCGATCGTGCTGCTAAGTGGGGAAGTAATGGCTAGCTGTGCCTTGGTTTGCTTACCGTGCCTGCGAAGGTAGAGGCCTTGGAAGGGGCTGGTGTACCAAGGTGCGGGCGAAGCAAAGGCCTGCTGGCTGGTCGACTTGAGCCTGAATGGGAAGCCAGGAAGCCATGTATGTGTTGGGTTATGGCAGCAACAGCGGGAGGCTTTGGCTAGCATGCGTAGCCTGCGAGCATACAAGTGAGCCACATGGGGATGAGCGTACAGGTCAGTTAGAGTACAGGGGTACAATGCAGAAGCGCTTGCATGTACGCAGCAAACTGCGTGTCTGCATGTACGTTCCTGCCCAAGAAAGATTGGCACGAAGCTTGTGTGCCAGTACCGATCGGCTTTCAATACCCACCAGCCCTCAGACGAGAAGCCCTCACAACCCTGGGTGACTAGGCATGCTTCGGCCATTGTCTGCAGGACCGCCGAGTTAAGGCTGTCCGGAGACACGGGGCAGGCATTCGTCGCATTGACGTAGCAGCCCATGTCATAGCCGTAGATGTCTTGGGTGGGATACCGGCAAAACAGAGTAAGAGCGAAGTAACCTGAGGGCACGCGCGTATGGGGGTGGGGAACGACGGAAGAGAGCAGATTAAGCTGATGAGAAGATGGCGTTACATACGTGATCTGGACCTGGGTTGTCATCTGCCAGAATGCAACTTTTGATGAGAACGCGAAAAGCTCAGCTGCCCGTTAAGCTATCTAGCACTGCCGCGGGAGCATTCCAGTGGAAATCGCAGTCGGTTGTGTCTGCTTAGTTTTTACCGGTATTCACGCCACCAATCACTCACCCTGCGGTGCTGGTGGGGGCTGGGTCTGGGCCAGCAGTCGACGAGCGCCGTCCGCACTCGCATCGCAACGCGTTACCAGGGACAGGGAAGCGGCAAACGCAATGATGATCGCAACAAGGCCGGGTACCCTTGATACCGGGCAAGCTGCCGCTCGCGTGCGCGCCATCATGACGCCCTTACGGGCAGGACGTAAACGGTCGAACGCGCTGGCCGAGAAACGTTAGCCAGTAGTTTAAGCAGATAGGGATTGTGTTTCTGTTTCTGTGCGCATATGCACAACTCAGCAGCGCGGTAGGTCCAGTTGGAGTGCCTGCCTTAAGTAAAGGGATTTGCGGCAACTGTACGGAAGGAGTTCAAACGACAGATCCCAACAAGTCAGCTATCGCAGCAAAAGAAGTTGTGCAGCATACCACGCGCGATCCATAGTCACCTGCAAATACGCAACACACAATGGCACAGCATTTATCTCGCCACCCAAGTTTAGGACGAGCCTCTCTATCGGGCAGTAACCAGTAAGCTTTACCATACACCACGACTTGCAATTCCTTACACATACGGTAAACTCTATCTACTGCTTTACATGCTCCCTCATGCCCTTGAGCATACCGGTATCAGCATACATCCATACGGACGTTTGCGTAATCCGACGTCCATCTACCAGATGCAGTGAATGTCTTTTCACAAATTAAGTTACACAATAAAGATGAAGGCCTTGAGTGGAACGCTCGCCATGGCAAGGTCAGGGCGACTAAAGTGCTCGTCCACGACCATGGTGGGCGACTTAACGGGCGGCCTAATCACTTGCCCTATCATAGCGCGTATATGTATTTTAGGGCTTGCCCGCATATACGAGTCGTTCAATCAAGATACCAAGGCAAAGGATAAGACAACTTGCTTTCATCGCGGCTAGGTATTGGCAGTACAATTTCTAAAGGATCCAGCTGGAATCGCAACTGGTTTGATGCATGGAGCGCACGGAGACCTACGTCTGCACACGCCCTGGTTCTGTGATGTGGGGCACGAACCCAGGGCCATGTTAATCTTACGACAAGTTCGCTATAATTATAAGTGCGCAAGCGTACGACTCCTTTCCGACCCTGCCCTCCCATGTTGCGCGAGTCCTGTAGTGCCTATAAGAGCACCCAAAACAACGCAAAAGCTGGTCAGGAGCGTGGTCAGGGACGTGGACAGTAACTTTATCACGAAACAATAGGCTTTGACTCTGCCGGAACGGTGGCGGTGGCCATTGGCGTTGTGGTCAGAAAGATGGTCAGGAAAGTGGTCAGGAAAATGGTCGGGTATTTGGTCAGGATCGTTGTCAGGTTCGCAGCCACTGGACAAGTAACGCCCAGCGCTGTTATTAATCAACGCAACCCATGGGTGCAGGGAGTAGCGTGTTGTGGGGACCGCGCAAGCTTGCCGCTCGTTCAACAACCGAGAACAGGTCACACTAGGAAGCTCAACAACTCTGAGGGTCTGGCAAAAGCACGACAAGTACGACAGGGCCCAACGCAATTATCGCAAAAAGGCACCAACACAACTTCTGAAAAGCCACAGCAACAAAGGGCCATCAACACAACAACCTTCAGCACTGCGGACAGCCACACGAGTTCATGGGCATCATCACTAGTGAAGCTCGTCCCTGGCGACCTGGCCTTGTTACAGAGTTCTATACTCGTACAACCGCGCACAATTACGCAATGTACTAATATGACATTGCCCCAATTTGTGTGAGATACTGAATACTATGGGTGCCCGTACCCGGGCACGCCATACCCGGGATGGATGGCTACACGGGTTGGGATGACTTTAGGGCGCGTGTATGAACGCGGGATGGATGGCTCACGGGTTGGGATGACGTTAGGGCGCGAGTATGAACGCGTTGACTACCGGCTGCATCTCCTCCGTTTCCTTGCGGAGACGGCCATAGACGCAGACGCCTGCCCGAGCATCACCACGTGCCTTAGCCTCCCCTTCGCCCGGTGGATATCCATCCCTGACCGCACCGCTAATGTTCCTTTGCCGAAGTTAAAGACGGAACGATAGAAGGCAATGTTCCATAATTTGCCCTCCTGGTACGAAGCAACAGTAGACTAGCAGACAACCATGCACCATGCTGGCCATGACGAGCGATTCTCAGGCTAGGCCGCAGACATGGGTATCCTGGCCTACGGCTTATCTTAGTAGTGTTCCTCGTTCTCTACTAAGCTAGCTACAATTGTTAGGCCTGCGTCAAGGAGCAGGGAACAGCCTCTAGGGCTGCTGAGCAAAGCATTGCAATTGACAGGCGCTCAACGTTTTTTTAATAGACTGTCATATCCTCTGTCTAGTAGTGTTTAAATCTTGACAAGATGTGCTACTTTGTGTTGTGAGTGAGTGAGTTGCTACAAGCTGTAAGGCTCGTAAGGCCCAGACGAGCCATGAGGCTCATGGACCGCACACACAAACAAGACAAACAGAGTAGGAAAAAAAATAAAAGAAAGAAAATTTCACATGTAACCGAAACAAAAAGCAGAAAGTAGCAAGCAGTAACCAGCCTAAGTGTCAAGACTAGTTGCCCTGACATGCCTGATCCTGTCTACCACTTTAGCAAGCAATCTTTGATTAGGAGTACTCATAACACTAAGCATACCCTGATCTAAAACAACACTATTGTTCACCAGCTCATCCCTAATCTCATTATAGGCGGGACTTTGTGTTGATAACGTCCTCGCTACGAGCTCGTCCGACTTTGGATCCTGGTACCATTTAGGGCCGTCGTGGCCCTAAATGCGACGTACTTTCGTCGTAATCGTCGTACTTTTCCCAGAGACCAACGGTTCGCTTTTCAAGTATGCATGCTTACCTTGCGCATACGTATGCCGACTAATAAAGCTGTGTTGAATTTGTTCTTATTTAGGCGCATCGCAGCATGCAAATGCAGCTCACATTGCACTGATTCAAGTCGTGACGACAATATTCCTGGGTCACAAAATCACGTGCAGTACAATAACTCTAAAGGCTTTGCCTATAGAAGTACTCTTCTGAAGGCATTGTTGGCTTGGGGACAGCAATGTTGGCGACCATGTTAGGTTTCGGCAGACTTACACGCGACCTGACCATCAGATGAAAACACACTACATAGCTCTTGCATAAAATTAGTTGAAAGGTAGCTGATGTGCAAGGGGCGACCGTCGACTGGTTTGTGCCCCATTCACTGCTCCTTGCGGAACGTTACGGTGACAGCCTGCTATGGCAACTGAAGAAGTAGTCCTAAACTTGCAGCAACAACTAGATACCATATTGCGGTCCTTAGGTCCTGAACAGGAACGTGACCTTCCTACCCACGACCGCGACAGCAGTGACAACAGCGTCAAGGAAGATGACATTTATGGCGCCTATGAGATTCTGCTTAAACCTGTCGCGGAAACTGCGCGGCAGAGCGGCCACCGGAGCCCAAACCTTCCCGTGCATCGCGGCGCATATGAAGCTGGTGCAGCAGCAGTCTGCGAGGCCACCGTCGCTGCAGCAACAGCAACTAAGGAAAGGACAGAAGGGGGCCCAGCATTAGCACCCTCTGCCGCCTGTAAGCCGCAAGGCAGCTGCGTCAGCAGCATGGCCGAGGGCTACGACCAACTCCTCAGCGGCGTCTGCCTTCAACAACAGACAGCTTCGCTGGCAGCGGCCATGTCCCACGGCCGCCATGAGGAGAAAGCAGCTGCTGATGACCCTGAGGAAGGCGGAGAAGGAGCAGCTGCTGCAAGCCCACGTGCAGGCGTGCTAGCGGTGGGTGGAATGCAGCGAGCGGGTTCCCTCCGACAGGGGCCGGCTGCTGCTGGGGGAGGTGGTCTGGGCAGTTGCCGCAGCAACGGTAGGCAGCACCGCAACGCCAGCGGCGATGGCGGCGGGGCCGCCGGCGGCGCTGCTGACAGCGGGGATGACGAGCCCTGTGTCGCCCGCTACGACCGAGACACCACGCTGGTGTACTACCAATACAAGAGACGCATGCACGGCAGCAGCGCCATCCGCCGCTTCTTCCCAGTGCAGTCGGAGGCCGCTATCACCACTGGCAAGCATCAAACCATTACTCTGTCGGCCAAGGATGCCAGCGGGCGACTGCATCCACAGCCCTTCGCTGCCACCATCAGCGCTGATGGCAGGTCGGGGACCTCCCTGCGCCTGGTCAAGCACATGGATCTTACGCGGTTCCTGGGCTTGACCAAGGACGAGGTACTTCGGCTGAGGAGCCTGTCAGACGGCCGCGTTCTCATTGAAAAAGACGTACGCACGTCTGGTGTGGCAGTCTATAAGCTCCCGAACACAACCTTCACAAACGATCGGGTAAACGTGCCGCGTTCGGTTTTGCGGAAATTGCTGGGGCAGGAGGCAGAGACCCGCGGGTCGGCGGAGGGCTTCCCCGTGCAGCTGGCGGCCGGGGAGGGTGTGGAGGGGCAGGTGGAGGATGTGTTGGGAGCCAGGCTATGCATGGTGAAGGCCAAGACGATGCATGAGTGGCGGATCCGGGGCCTCATGCCCTGGATGAGGGCGAGGGGCGCGAAGTTTGGGGATCGGATGTCTCTGTCGATTAAGCCTGTGGTGGGCGAGGCGCGAAAGGCTGGAGCTGCTTCCGGTGGTGGTGGTGCTGCTGCTGCAGCGGCAAGGGCGGCGATTCCCCGCGGCCCCATCACATTCTTGGTGGGTCTGCTTCAGTCGGACGGGAAGGACGCGGCCGGAGACATTGCTGAGGAGCCTGAAGGGCAGGCGGCAGCGGCAGCAGGGACGGCAGCGGCAGCAGGGACGGCAGCAGCAGCGACCGGGCCCCCTAACGCCAGCCCGACAGATGTAGCAGCCTGCCCTGCGGTAGCCGCGGAGGCTTCAAAGGAGCAGCTGCGACGGGGGCGGCAGCGGCGGCGGCGGACCTCCGCGGTCTCGGCGGGGTTGACGACGGGTGCTGCGAAACGGCGGGGCAGCGACTTTCGGCAGCTCGCAGCGGTGCCCGCCAAGCCTGCTGGCGGTGGCGGCGACGTCAACGGAGGTGCGGACAGTGGTGGTGGCGGTGCTGAGCAGCCAGGCGGAGTCGACGGGGCACCCTGGGCCGGCGGTGTGGGTATGGATGCAGCAGCCGCGGAGGCGGCAGATAGGGACGCAGGGTGGCTGGAGGAGCAGGTGCCGCCACAGGACGCGGCGCCGGCGGAGGAGCAGGACGCGCCGGCGCCGGATGATGCGGCGGGGTATGGTGACTGGGATCTGGACGGGGTTAGAAGCCATTGGGAGCGGGAGGAGAGCGGATGGGAGAGGGGCCGCAGCAGGAGCCGAGGTCCGGAGGACTCACGCCACCGCCGTCGACACAGCCGCAGCGGCAGTCGCAGCCGCCACCGCAGCCGTCGTGAGGGCAGCCGGAGCCGCAGCCGCCAGCGGCACCGCCGCCGCCGCCACCGCAGCAAGCGGCGGCGCAGTCGCAGCCCCAGGCGCCGCGAGGGCAGCCACCGGCACGGCAAGCGCCAACGCCGCCGCGACAGCAGCCGCAGCCCTAGCGGCAGCGGAGGTGAAGGCAGCGGCGGCGGTTAAAGCGGCGGCGGCGCCGGAGGAAGCCAGAGCGGATGCGATAACAACGCTACGGCACACACAGTCAGTCGGCGCCACGGTGGCAGCAGCAGTCTCAGCCGGGAACCGGGCTACGGTCACCGCAGCCGCCATCGCCGCTAGCAAGGCTGGGAGCTGCGACCATGGGGTCACTTTTGGGAGGCTGTTGTGGTGTTAAATGGCGCCCATAGCGCACAGGGACAGACCGAACTGTACGTGAGCAGGCGCATACTGCATAGGTATGCGCGAACATAAACAGACATGACAGGACATGGCAGAGCGAAAGATGGGTTCGGAGTCGCGTCAAGGTCCTCAAGGATGGTGTTGCATGTTTGCATTGCTGGAGGTGCTCGGGTTTTGCTCGGACGGGAGTGAGGCGGGATTGCGGGCAGGTCAGTGAGCTCGCTTGTTGTGTGAAAACTGGCACGGCCGCACTTCTGAACGTGGCATGTGCCAGGCCAACGCCGACCGCTGGTTTGTTAAGAAAACTGGCCCTAATTTGTATTTGCACGTGTCGTAGTGTACGCCCACACATTTATGCGCATATGCATATGCCTATGCATGCATAGCCGAACGGTTGTAGTGGGAATTGTACACTCTAGGGCATGGTTTGCGGGTTGGAGGAAGAGAACCGCGTAATGACATACATGTTTAACAATAGTAATTCATGATGAGAAGTATTCCGTTTGGGGGCTATGCGTGCAATCGTTATCCCCCTAGGTAAGGTTGCCCTGGCCTTTTGTTCCCGCGCTTCATAATCTTGACATTCAGGATGGATCCCGCGCGACCTGTTGAGGCGAGCGGCAGCCGTTGCGCGCCGAATGCGAGCGTACTGTTACACTGCCACGTCTGAACGTGTGACGGACCCGGCGGGTCGCAACGGTGGTTGACGATGCAAGAGATACCATCGCGAAACTTGTGGGTTGGTTTGCAATCCATTTATAGTACGTCTGCTGTTTTTTAACCTATGTTAATATAAGTAAGGTTCTCGGCTGCGTTTACCTTTATTGAGAGGGAGCCCATTGCCCGGATTGCCTGTAGGTTGTTGCACTCCGATAGCATATACGGAACGACAGTCTTGCATGGTCGCTTTCCTACCTAGTCTTCTAACATTTTGCCTTGCTTCCATTCATCATCAAGTACTATAACGGTCTCAGGGTACTTTACAGCGTCCAGCGTAAAGACAAAGGACTATCACGCACTTAGAAGCCACCGCCATAGGATGCCTTTGGGTTAGCAGCTAGACTATAGATCACGTGGCTTTCGCTTTGGCAGGCCAGCAATGTCAGCCCAACAAGCGGGCCCAGCCTCGCAGCAGTCTGACCCTTTTTCGCAATCTGCTGAAGAAGAGCAGCGCCCTTTGCTCAGGCAAGACCAAGAACCCAAAGGTTATGGCGTTGAAGACTGGGAGGAAGACGTTGAAGAGGCCTACAATTTGCTGCTAAGCCCGAGCCTGGACCTCCGAACCGCGCAAAGCAACGACGAGCACCGCCGACCTGACCGCCCTCACCGCAGTAGCACACACGCAGCAGCAGCAGCAGCTACCAACAATGCAGCAACACCACCGGCACCAACTCCAGCAGCCCAGCTCCTCCCGCCTTGCGGCTCCGCACAACAGCGGGTGCGCGTAGAGCGCGAGGACCGGGACCCAGCGGAACAGAGTCGATCGAGAGAGCAGCCAGGGTGGGGCAGCTGGGCGGGTGATGTGCGGCTTGAGGATGTGCGGCAGCGGGGTGGTGCAGCCCGGGCAGGTGACGGAGGCGGAGGTAAGGGTGGAGGTGACGGAGGCGGAGGTGAGGGCGGAGGTGGGCCTGAAGGCAGGGGCCTTAGCATGGGTTGCTCAGAGGGCACGGAGCAGCAGGGAGGTGATGAGGCGGGCGGCGGTTGCGGAGGGGCGGCGGGCGGCGGCAATATTGGCGCCGGTGCGCCACCGGGTGATACCGCGGCTCACAACATTGCCGGTGACGACCCGGGGCACAGAATGAAGTTCGTAGAGCACCGCGTCCTGGGAAGCCGAGCCATCCGGCACTTCTTCCCCGCTCAGGCGGCGGCCGCTGCGGACACGCGGAGGCCCCAGTCGGTGCAGCTGTGGGTCCAGACGGCCAGCGGGCAGCTGTGTCCGCAACCCTTTGAACTCTCCCTGGCCGTGTTCAGATACCCGTCAAAATCTGTCATGCTGTCCAAAGCCACCCAGCTGGCCCGGTGCCTGCGTCTCCAGCAGGGGGCGCAGCTGCGACCCAGCATGCTGCCGGACGGGCGGGTTGCCGTACAGGCGGTCACGGCCCCGCCCGCTGCTGTAGTGGTGCTGGTGAAGTTGTCGGCATACCATATCGAGCGAGCAAGGGTCGTCGTGCGGCGGGTAGAAATGCGGAAGTTGCTGGGGCAGGAGGCAGAGACCCGTGGGTCGGCGGAGGGCTTCCCTGTGCTGCTGGCGGCCGGGGAGGGAGTGGAAGGGCAGGTGGAGGAGGTGCCGGGAGCCAGGCTGTACAGTGTTCCAAGGAAGGAGGCCCACGAGTGGCGGCTGAGGGGCATCGGACCCTGGATGGTGTCGAGGCGGGCGAAGGCCGGTGACCACCTGCAGCTATCACTCAGTTCTGCGGGCGGTTACGATTTGGACTCGGCGGGCGCGAACACAGGGGCCGCTACCCTCTTCGTGGGCCTGATACCGTCAGACGCCGGGGGCACGAGGGATCCCGAGGGGCCGGAGGCACTGACGGAAGCAGAAGCGGAAGCGGAAGCGGCAGAGGCGGCGGCGCCAGCATTCCGGCCCTCTACCGCTGCCACCAGCCTTGCTGCTGCTGCTCAGGTGACGGCAGGGCCCGCGGACGGGCGGCAGCGGTGCGGTCTGCTGCTGCAGGATTGGGCAGCGGCGGCAGCAGCGGCGCAGGCGGCGGTGGAGCGGGGCGGCACTGGCGTGCTGCGGGAGGAGGGGGTCACAGCGGGGCCCTGCGAGGACAGCAACAAGCAGCGCCGCAGCCTCTACGGCAGCAGTCGCCGGGGCCGCAGTCACAGCCGCAGCCCCAGCCGAGATGGGGCCAGCAGGCTTTGTCGCAGCCGCAGCCGGGGCCGCCGCCACCGCAGCCGCAGTCGCCACGACCACTGCTTCAGCCGGAGCCGCAGCCGGGGCCGCCGCCACCGCAGCCGGGGCCGCCGCCACCGCAGCCGGGGCCGCCGCCACCGCAGCCGGGGCCGCCGCCACCGCAGCCGGGGCCGCCGCCACCGCAGCCGGAGCCGCAGCCGTCGTGAGGGCAGCCGGAGCCGCAGCCGCCGACGGCACCACCGCCGCCACCACCGCAGCAAGCGGCGGCGCAGTCGCAGCCCCAGGCGCCGCGAGGGCAGCCACCGGCACGGCAAGCGCCAACGCCGCCGTGACAGCAGCCGCAGCCCTAGCAGCGGCGGCGGTGAAGGCAGCGGCGGCTGCAGCGAAGGTAGCCCGCGGCAACATGACTTCCCTCCCGGTACCGGTACCCGGCTGACCATCAGTCGCCGCGGACCCCGCTGGGATCCGGACTAGCAGTCTGGTCGCCGCAGCAACACATGCTGCCATCATCGCTGGAAACCGGAGCAGTCTCACACAAGCGGCACCCTCTCACGTCGCCGCAGCCACCCTAGCTGCTGAGGCCCTTAGTGGCGCACGGATCCTGCGCGGTACCTGTCAGGTTACGAGCCTGGTTGCTCCTTTAGGTGGGAAACACATGCAGGAATCTTGCTGGAATACAGCGATTTGAAGCCGACGTCATCATGAAGGTTTAGTTGTAGGTATAGTGATGGGTAGCTGGCTGGGCAGTATCAGTGACTGCTTGCATGAGTTGAGGGATGGGCGGGCGGTGTGGGTGCTGCGGACCATTGGGGACGAGCAATGGTTGAAAACACTTGATAGGGAAAGCCCACATGGCTGTTTGTCTGATGGATTCGTGGGTTCGGTGGTTGCAAACGCCGCAACGTAGCTACGCATTGTCGTTTTTGTGTGTGCTGCTGTTGAGGTAGCTACGCATCGTTGATACGGCCGGGCCGATACGCCGGCCTCTGCCTCCGCGCCCTATTGCTGTTGTATCACGATGGATTGAGCGGAATCTTCACGACTGGGCCTACTCATTGAGGGGGATACAGAATAGTTGGAGGCAAGCTTAGGTAAAACAATTTAAGTTCCTCGCTGTATTGAGGAGGCGATGGTCAAGTTATAATGACCTAACCGATTGGGATAGGCCGCCTCTAGCCGCATGCTCCCATGCATGGTGGCAGCATGTAGCTGGTTTCCGGCTATGACCGGTAAGCCACTCCGAGCTGCTCCCGATAGGATACGCCCGGTGCCAGCACAGAGAGGGGCTCTTCGAATGGAGCAGCCCGACGAAGGTTACAGCTCACGGCCCAGCACGCAGCGACCCAGTGCGCTTCCAGTCGGAGGTGAGGTTGCACGCAGCAAGAGGCCCCAGCTTGCCTGACAGACTCACCCACCAGCTTGCTTGACAGACTCACCCACCAGCTTGCCTGACAGACTCACCCAGCAGTAGCCCCCAAGCGAACCAGTCCACTCCCTCCACAGTCGCCAGGCAGAGAATGGACTCCCGCACTCCCACACCTCACCCGCAGGCAGCACGCATGAGAACACACGCACGGGTGAGGCGTGCAGACACAAGCTGCAAAAACACACCTGAGGCTCATCAAGGACGTAGCAATACCGGTATACAGCCCCCATGTGTACACCACACTGTTGGGATGCATGCATGCATGCATGCATGCGGCTTTGGAACCCTGTCCTGTGTCCACTGCCTGCTACTGCCTGCTACACGCTCTCCAACACCGCCTTCTCTACACTCCCCTACTCCATGTCCTCATCCTCCGAGTCACCGCTGCCGTCTCCCGAGTCGATCTCCGGTAGCTCCCCCTCGCTGTCGTCACTCTCATCGGCAAACACCGGCTTCACGGGGGCTGCTGCAGCGGCAGCGGGCCGAGCAGAGCTTGCAACTGCAGCACCGGCAGGCGGTGCAGCTGCAGCACCAGCAGCAACAACGGACTTGACAGCCGCGGTGTCTGGTTTCGCTTGCTGGCCGTTCCCTGCCGCTGGCGTTGCTGCTGCCGCAGGTGCAGACGAGGGCTTCTTGTCAGCCGCAGCCTTAGCGCCCTTCTTGGCTCCCTTCTTCCCAGTCGCGCCCTGCGAGGCGGGTGCAGCTGCTGCTGCTGCAGGTGTTGCCACGGATGCACCTGAGCCCCCTGCAGGAGCAGCGCTGTTGGTGGTTGCTGCCGCCGCCGCCGCAGCAGCAGCAGCCGGTGGCAGGCCGTTGGGTGCGGCAGTAGCAGCAGCCGATGACGGCGGTGGCGGAGCCGCCGCCAGGGAGGGCTGCTGAAGACCCGTCGCCGTTACAGCAGTCGCTTGCTGCTGTTGCTGTGGCGGCACCGCCACAGCCACCGGTGGCGGCAGCGGATCCAACATGCTCCACAAGCGGGGCCGCGGCAGCAGCACCCCCTGCTGCGTCGACTCCGCACCCGACGTCATCGGAGCCGCCCGAGGCCGCAGCAGCCCCTCCAACGTCAGCAGCCCTTCCGTACACACCTCCGCCAGCTCCAACCCGCCGCCGCCGCCGCCAGCCGCCCCAGCACGCAGCAGCGCGAGCCCCTCCGCCAGGAACGGCGGCCGACTGGGCCAGGGCGCCGCCAGACTGGCGACCAGGGCGCGAGTGGCGGCGACGCGAAGCTCCGCCACCTCAGCCGCGCGTGACGCCGCGGCGGCGGCGGGCTCGCGCGCGGCGCGAAGCGCCGCGTCCGCCGTCACCGCCGCCATGTGGTACGACAGGGCGTCCAGATGGCCGCGGAGGTCTGCCGCCAGCGCCGGCCCGGCGACCTGCAGCAGCGCCTCCGCCACCGCCAGCGCCGCCGCCTGCGCTGCCACGTCCTGCGGCGACGCCACAGGCGCCAGCGCCGCCGCCGCCAGCGCCGCCGTCGACACGTCCATGGCCGCCAGGGGGTCCCCGGCTGCCGTACGGGCCTTCTTGGCTGGCGGCGGCGCACCCGCCTTGCCGAAAGCGGCGCCCGCGGCGCCAGAGCCGTACAACGCCGCCTGCTGCTGCTGTTGTTGCTGCTGCTGTACGGCACTGAGGCCGTACAGCTCCGTCACCAGCATACCCACCACCTCCGTCGCCAAAGCTCGCCCGGCGGCGAAGCCGCACGTTCGAAGAACGACAACCGTTGTGTCGTACAACTTCGTGCGCACGCTTGGGTGCATAGTGCACGCCAGTCCGCCGGCGCCGCCGGCCTTGATCCTGCGCAGCTGCTCCGAAACCAGGCGGCACAGCGGCGCCGTCAGCGGCATGACGCCGCCCGGCCCCAGCAGCCGACATGTGAGGCCCAGCAGGCCCCATGCGGCGCTGTGCAGCTCGGGGAGGGCGGTGAGCACCTCGGCCTGGGCGGAGGAGGAGGGGGCGACACGGCCCGGGGCCAGCAGCACTGCGGGAAGCAGGAGCAGGTAAGGAGGACGAGGGAACGGTGAGCAGGAGCGCGAGGTGAAGTATGCGGTGCAGAACAATGCGGTATAGCAGACTATAGCAGGCTAGCCGCTCCCTCCCCATTCCCATGCACCCGCTGCCCCCTGCCGCTCACCCTGCGGCTCCAGCTTCAGCAGCCGCATGGCAGCCAGCACCACCCCCTGCCCCGGCAGCGGCACAGGGGAGGTGCTGCCGCCCGACAGCAAGCAGCCCAGGCACTCCAGCAGGCCGAGGGTGACCTGCAGGGTGTGCGCCACGCCAGGCCGCACGCCCGCCGCTCCGAAACCAGCCGGCCCCAGCAGCCCCTCCGCATCCCCCCCTGCCGCTCCTCCTGCCGCTCCTCCACCCGCCGCTGCCGCCTCCAGCTGCTCACGGGCGCGAACACCCAACCCGCCGTCCGCCACCACTCCATCCCCCGCCCCTCCGCCTCCTGCGCCGCCTCCATAATAGAACAGCAGGTCTAGTGCCGCATGCAGGGACAGCAGCGTACGGCGGACCAGCGAGCTCCAGGCGTCGGCGTCAGCCGACGCTGCGGCGACGGCACCGCCACCTCCGCCTCCTGCTGCGGCCCTCGGCAGCGCCGCCAGCGCCCTGGCTGCCTCACACCTGACCCTGAGGCTCACTCCTGCTGGTGTTGCGGCGTTGGCAGCACCACCAGCACCACCGGCAGGAGCACCGGCCCCAGCCCCGGCCCCGGCGGGAGGTGCCGCCAGCAGCGCCGCCAGCTGGGTCTCCAGGGCGGCGCAGTGGTGGCGGGCGGCGGAGGGCAGGCAGCGCAGCACGGAGTGGGCGGCGGAGAGGGCGGCGACCTGGCAGCCTACAGATGGGGAGGATGGGGAGGAAGGATGGGTAAGGTAAGGAAACCCCGAAGGAAAGAGGTAGCAGTATGTTGTTGTGGGAACAAGCGGGGTTGCCTGCGACAGCTTATATGCGCTGTAGCATACCGTACACCTGCCACTCCCCCACCCCCCACTTCCACTCCCCCGCCCTCACCCGGCTCCCCAAGCAGCGGGGTGGCGAGCTGCAGGGTGCGGCCCGCGGGTCCGGAGGCGTCACGCCGCACCCCCGGGACGTCGAGCAGCTCACGAACCCTGGAGCGGGGTGGTGCAGAGGAGGAAGGGGGCGGGAGAGGAAGGAAGAAGAAGGGATGAGGAGCGGGTTAACACATGCGGTTCCAGTACCTAACTGCCCCTAGTAGTACCTCGCCGCTAGTAGTAAGGGCCATCCCATGTGTCCCTTTCAATTCACCGCATCATGTGCACGCGCACATGCGCGCACCTGCCGAACAGCTCCCCAAGCGCATGCAGCGCCGCGGCCCGGGTGGCAGAGCTGCTGTCGCCCCGCCGCACCGCCTCGAGCAGCGCAGCGCTCCAGTCGCCGTACGACGAAAGAAATGAGCGCACCGACACGTGGCGACACAGCACTCCCAGCAGCAGCGCGACGCCGGGACGAGCAGCGGCCTGGTGCGTATGGGGTGGGATGTGGGGTGGGAGAGGTTGTCGAGAAGGAAGGAATTGAGGTCGGGATGGACGGTAGGGAATGGTCGCACGGATGCTGTTATTGTGCAACAGTAGCCTTATAAAAGTAATAATGTTGCGCGAGGGTTGTTAGGTAGGCTAGGGGTTGTATTACGCGCAGAAGTGTTTTTGCAACTTACATCGCCCTTGCTTAGCTGCTTAAGCAGCTGCTCGACCAGCTTGCCCTGAAGCTCCGTGACAGGCGCCCATGTACCACCTTGAATACCATCCGGACCCGCAGACAGCAGGCCGCTACCAACAAGCAACTGGGCGATGGCGGCGGTGCCATCCGGGCTCAAAGGTTGCTCAAGCGAAGAAAGAACTTTGCGCAGCAGTGCGCTTCGCAAAGCAGCGGCGGCTTCCATAGTGTAAAAGCTTATATTTTCACCACAATTATATCTACAGTTTACCCTGCTGCCGGCACAATATTGAGCAACACGCACAGGACCCTTCTATGGATTCATAGGCTAGCAAGCAGCACTCGTCATCGTCAACAGCAAGAAGGCCGAGGCGTTCGTCACAGTGGTCATGCCTTTCCATTTCACGCGCATCATGGTCCAAATAACGGTCAAGTACAACCGACCCCTGGGTAAGGGCAAAACGTGTTTTGGGGCGAGGGCAGTTGCAATAAGCTTATGCTTCATCTTACGGTTATTGCGTCTTATAGATATGGTTCCTTTAACTGGACATAGTTCTGACGCCCGTCCGCATTTTGTGCCCCTCTTACTAGGCGCATACATATGGTGCACGCCGGTCGCATAGCCTTTACTAATTACGATCGTGGCAACTTACGGTGTGTGGAGCCTGAGTAGCGCAGCTGCTTCTTTACGGATTCGCCATGTCAAGGCTATTTCGCAGCTATCATATCTCTGAGTCCGACAAGGATAACAGCCCGAAGGTAAAACCGGCGCCACTGCGGCCCGACGAACAGCTGAAGCGTGGCGCGAGTGGCGAGGAGCCAAATCTTCCAGGAGAGCAGGCTGTCCACGACCAAAGCGCGACCTTGGATAGCATGCAGATTGACCCGGATGATGCGCGTTTAGTATCCGCGCTACCGGAGGCACCCCAGGCGCCAAATCCCACAGCTCTGCATCGGCGCTCAGGCTCTGCAGGTCCGGACGCAATCGCTTCAAGAGCTTCAGACCTTAACAAAGCGCACCGACAAGTTGATGGATTGATAGCTGTATCAGAACAGCAACGCTCCTGCGTTGACAATCCATCCCTGCAACCGTCAGCGGAAGCAATTCCCCAGCTGCAAGCCCAACCTGCTGCCCAGACCCTGCAGCCAATAGCAGAAACATTAGCACGAGCACCAGCTGCCCCCACTACCGTTGCCGGTGGTATTCAAGGTGCTTCCGATGACTACATCAGCGACGATGATGACGTTCCTTTGGTGCCTCGCAGCAAGCGGCAACGGCTAGTCCAGCAAGACGCATCAGCACGAAGCGAAGAGCACCAGCAACCAGCTGCGGACCTGCAGGGCACCGCCCAACCCGCTGCCGCCGTACTCGTCAAGAAGGAGGAGGAGCACGACGGTGTGGGTGCGGGTGCGGGCACATGTCGGCAGTACATCCTACGGGGTCGCCCCCTGGCCAGCCCCACACAACAGGCAGGCGGCAGCAGCACCGCCGCCGCTGCTGCTGCTGCTGCTGACGTGTTAAGACCCACCACTCGCCAGGTCGCCGCTCAGTTGCTGGACACGGGTTCGGATTCCGAGGATGCGGTTGTTGTTGTGAAGGATGAGCCCAGCAGTCCGCAGCGAACGGGAGCCAGGAGGAGAAAGGGCGCAGCAGCAGCGGCAGGAGGAGCAGCAGCAGCAGGAGGAGGAAAGGTTGGCAGGCCCAAGGAGGAGGAGGAGGAGGAGGAGGGCGCCCCCAGGAGGCTCACCCGCAGCAGCAAGAGGGCTGCACCGGCGGCGGGGGTGGGGGCGTCTGCGGCGGCGACTCGGGAGGAGCCACCGCGGCGGCTTACCCGCCGGGCAGCTGCAGCGGCAGCGGCGCGGGTGAAGGAGGAGCCGGAGGGCAGCGAGGAGCAGGAGGAGGAGGAGGAGGAGGAGCAGCCACAGCCTCGTCGTGTCACGCGGGGTGCCGCTGCTGCGGCGGCGGCGGCGGCTGCACGCAAGACGAGCCAACCGAAGCAAAAAGCGCAGAAACAGCAGCAACAGCCACGGGGGCGGCGGCGACGGCTTTCCTCCAGCGAGTCGGACCCGGACTATCACGACGGCAGCAGCAGCAGCAGCGAGCAGGAGGTGGAGGACGATGAAGACGAGGAGGTGGAGGAAGAGGAGGCAACGGGGCAGGAGGGTAAAGGCAAGGCAAGAGCAGGCAGCAAGGCTGCGGCCGGCGTCAAGGGAGGAGGAGCTGCAGCTGCACGGCAGCGACCCCCGCAGCAGACCCGACGGCGGAGGCGGCAGCAATCGGTGGACAGCGAGGATGAAGGTACGGCAGAGGCGGAGAAGGAGACGACGACCCCGGAGGCGGAGGACGACGACGAGGAGGAGGAGGTGCTGACGGCTAGGAAGGGTAGGAGGAACGCCGCCGCTAACGAGCCTGAGGACGGTAACGGCGGCGGCGGCGGTGCGGGTCGGCGCCTGCGTCGTCTGGGTGCCGGCGGCAAGCGGGTTGCTGACGTGGACAGCAGCAGGGCGGCAGCAGCGGCAGCAGCAGCAGGTGCCAAGTTGGAGGACGGCAGTGCGTCAGAGCTGCTGGAGGATGAGGGAGTGGAGCTGAGGGGGGCGGCAGGGGGGGCAGCGGAGGAGGAGCAGCCTGGAGGTGGAGGCAGGGGTGTAGGCGTTACGTCGGCGGGGCGTCGCAACATGCGCAGTCGGCCGCAGCGGAAGGCGCTGACGACGCGGAGCATGCGCGACCGCATTCGCCGGAAGCTGTCGGGAGTGGCGCCGGAGGGTGAGGAGGGGAGGGGAGGGGTGGGCTGATGGTTGGTTGGGTTGGTTGGGTTGGCTACAGCGGATCTGGATCTGGATCTGGATCTGGTTGGATAGCGCCGTCATCACCCTATGTCGCCCTGAGAGCCACCGCCGCCTCCCACGTGCCTGCTGGCTCCCACTGCCTGCCTGCCTGCATGTCAGTGACCTCACCTGGTTCCCCCATCAGGAGTCCTCTCTAATGCCACCTGCTGCAGCTGGCATGCTGGGAGCACACTGGGAGCTTGCAAACCCACTCTGATACAAACCACTGCCGCCCGCATCCTCTTTGCTGTTCTCCGACCTTTCTCCAGATGAAGACGAAGACGAAGAGGAGGAGGAGGAGGACGACGACGCCGGGCTCGATGACCAGGAGGAGGAAGATCCGGCCGGTTTGACCGGCGCTTACGGCGCCGCCACCACCGCCGCCGCCGGCCGGTCATCGTACGGCGGGGGTGACTGCCGCCGTCAGCGGCTGCCCATGCATCCCGGGCTGCAGGGGGAGGGGGGTGACGACTACGAGGCTGGTATTGCCATGATGATGGATGCCAGTGATGAGGAGGGGGAGGGGGATGGAGGAGGAGGAGGAGGAGGGGGTGCGGCGGCTAAGCGGGCGAAGGCGGGGGCTGGCGGCAAGAAAGGCGGTCAAGCGGGGAGAGGAGGAGGCGAGGAGGAGGAGGAAGATGACGATGACAGCTTCATTGATGATGGGGAGGTGGAGTGTGAGCCTTCGGACGGTGAGGAAGAGGAAGAGGAGGCCGAGGAGAAGAAGAAGCAGAAGAGGGGTAAGAAGCGGCGGCGGCGTGGCGGCGCGTCCAAGGGAAGTGACGAGGAGGGGGAGGAGGGGCGCAGCACCTACTTGTCGTCTCCTGCCTTCAAGTGTGTGGGACTGAGCAGTCACCCCTTCGAGAACTTCAAGAAGTGGGCGGTAGGTGCCGCGGGGGTTGGGGGGTGCGGCGGGTGCGGCGGGTGGTGAGCGGCATTGCAAGCCGATCGGTCAAGAGGTCAAGGGGAATACAAAGAGGCGGAGGAGGAAGGAGGAGGACGTACTGCGGGCTGCGCGTGCATGGGGCACCAGTGCAGGGCGCAAGTCATCCCCTGCCTGCCTGCCTTCCTCCCTTGACATTTCTCGTCAGTATCCTCAGTTTGACCCTGCCTCCCGGCCCCCCCGCAGATCTTGCTCATGTGCGACATCCTGCGGGTGCAGATCGGCGACGACAGCGAGGAGGAGGCGAGGCGGGAGCAGTTCCTGAACCAGGCGGCTCGCAGGCGCTTCGAGCAGGACATCAAGGACAGCTTGTGAGTGATGGTGGGGCAGGGGGGGGCCAGTGCACTGTATAACGCTTGCATGCCGCTGTGTTTTGGTCGAGGCAATGAGAGGCCCCCAGCCTCACCTTTGAGCGGGGATCGCGTTCTGTTGTTGACCTAAACAGCGCCAGTGCCAGGCTGCAAAGGGAGGCGGAGGCAGTGCATGCTGGCTGCTGCTGCGGCGCTAACCTTGCCTGAGCACCCAACCGCAACAACCTCCCAACCGCTGCCCTCTAACAACCTCCAACCACCTCCCAACCGCTGCCCTCTCCAGGGGTCGCACCCGCTCCTTCCACTGGGTCACGGCTGACAAGAAATACGGACTCAGCAAGTAAGAGGTGGAGCAGATACCCTAGTGGGCAGTGGGCAGTGGGCAGTGTCGCAGGGGGTGCCAGTGGAGGCAGTGCTGTGTCGCAGTGGCCCATGGGTCGGCAACCTACGTGCAGCGGTACACACTGCGCTTCTTTCCCCTAACTGCGATGTCCTTCCTTCATTCCACTGATGACACGAATGGCACGGGAATCCATGTCAAGTATTCAACTGAAACAAAAAAATGCTGCCGCTGCTGGCGCACCCGCAGGCTGCTGGAGCGCTACCCCGCGCTCTACATCCGCGGCATGACCTCCCTCGACTTCTACGGCGACCCCGGCAAGCGCGCCGTGATTGCGGAGATCAGGGCGGAGGAGGACTACGCGGCGGAGGGGTACCACATGTGAGGGGCAGTGGGTGGGGGTGCGGCGGAGTTGCTGGGGGGTTGGCTTCAACCATAGCGCTGATGCGCTTTCCCTGCTGCCGACGCTGCCCCCCTGCTGCTGCCCTGCTGCCCCCACCGCAGGGGTGACGAGATGGGCGATTCCCACTGCACCGTCTGCAACGCCCATCGGTGCGTAACTGCTTGGGTTTGGTAATCACCCTTGTTATCTCCTTGGGTGCCTTTGGTTGCGGGACGTGTTCTGTGAACCGGATGGGTACCTATTTGAGCAGCACAAAGGTTACAACGAAGCCACAACGCGCCAAGTTGTTACGGGATGCCGCTTTTGCCATGTCTGGGCCTCTCACCAACGCCTCAGCTTCACCTTACTCATGTCTCGCCCTTCACCCCTTCGTCCGCAACCCTCCACCCTTCACTCGCCACAGCACGCACCGACTGCACGAGATCACCCTGGGCGGCGACCCGGTGGACGCGGAGGGGCGCGACGTGGAGGAGGAGGAAGATGACGACGAAGAGGACGAGGATGTGGAGGTGCTTGGAGCAGGAAGAGGACGAAGGGGAGCCGAGAAGCCGCCGATCATCACGGCTGGCGGCATGTGTTGCGACCGGGTGGTGCTGTATCATGCGCTGGCTCACCTGAAGCGGCGCATGGTGGCGGCCCTGACGGCCAAGCTGAAGGAGGTGCTGCACCGCATGCACGCGTACCTGGGGAGGTGGGTGGCGGGGAGGGCAGAGGGGGGACGGAGTACCTGGGGAGGTGGGTGCAGGGGAGGAGAGGGGAGAGGGGGTACGTGGGGAGGTGGGTGGCGCCCTGCAGCTCTCGCCCCGCCCCCACGGTCCACGCCCAACCCTGCCAAAACCTCCTAACACCCTTCGCTGGCTTTGCTGCTGTGACCCAAGCATCCAAGCATGCCTGCATGCCCTCCCTTCTACTTTGAACCCCACCCTTCCTTCCACCCTCTCCTCATGCACCTCTCCCCGCACCGCCCAGGCCCGAGGGCGCCCTGCTGCCCGGGGAGACGCGCGCCGCCGCCCTCACCCGACTGCTGGCTGACGAGCGGGCGCTGCAGCGCATGCACAAGGAGTACGAGGAGGTGATGGACGCAGCCAAGATGCTGCACAGCACGGAGAACCGACATAACGAGAGGTTCAGGCCGGGGCGCAAGGTTAGAAACAGCGGGTGGGGGGGTGACTGTGGCTACACCCGGTGGGAGGGTTAGCTGCTGTTGGTGCTGCTGTTGGTGCTGCTGTTGCTCCATGTGGTATTTGCTGCCGTTGCCGGAGATGCGCGCTGTGCAGTTTAGAAGGGCCTTCGCTCTGCGATGTGGTTTTGTCAGTGCTGACTGTTTTATTGAGTGAGAGGTTTGAGCCCGGCTTGGTTTGCATGCATGACACATGCCACCTTGGCATGCCTGACACATGCATGACACATCATGGTACACCTGCCAGGGTGCATGCGCCGTTGCCGTGCAATCCGCTCCCTAACCCACCCCACCCCAACCCCGTGTCGCACATGTTCAGGTTTCGGAGGCTATCTTTGGTTTGCACCCCTCGGTGGACGGCTATGAGTCGCCCATTCCCGGTGTGCCGACCGAGGAGGAGGAGGAGGAAGACGAGGAGGGAGAAGAGGGCGGCGAGGAGGAGGGCGAGGGCGAGGAGGGGCAGGAAGAGGAAGGGGACGATGAGGAGGGCGGCGGCAGTGGGAAAGAGGGCGACGACGGCGGCGAAAGCCCTCGTGATGAGAACAGCGGTGGGGGTGGGGATGACGATGACGACGACGATGGTAAGGGCGGCCGCGGCGGTGGCGGTGGCGGTGGCGGTGGCGGCAGGCGGCGGCGAGTTAAGGTTGTGCTTGACTTCGATGATGATGATGATGATGATGATGCACCGGACGCGGAAGCCGGGACACGGCAGGCAGGTGGGCAGCAGGGCGGCAGAGGCGGCGGCGCTGCTGCAGCCGCACCTAGCGGGGGCGCCACCACCCGCTGCACCCCGGCGGAGGCACTCGGCGGCGCTGCTGCTGCTGCTGCGGCGGCGGCGGCACCTCCGCTGTCGCCTGCTGCCGTACATCTGCGTGAGGAGACGCGCCGTCGGAGGTCCGAGGCGTTAGCGACGGCTGCCAGAGCCGCCGCTGACGCCGCCACAGAGGCCGCAGCGCGGGCGGACGCCCAGGCAGCCGCTGCTGAGGCCCAGGCGGCGGCTGTGGCGGCAGCGGAGGCCGCCGCGGCGGCGGCGGAGGCGGCGAAGCAGGCGGCTAGGGCGGCGGCGGCGGCGGAGGCCGCGGCGGCGGCGGTGGCGGTGCGGTCTCCCTCAGGTCGTCAGGTCAAGATCGACGAAATGTTTTCACCCCGTTCCCAGCAGCAGCAGCTGCAACCACAACAGCCGGCATCGGAGGGTACTCGACAGCGGCCGCAACAGGAGGCCGTACGGACGGCGGCGGCGGCGTCGGGGAATATGGAGGCGGTGGTTGACCTCGTGAGCAGCAGCAGCGGAGACGAGGCGGAGGTTGACCAGCCGCAACAACAGCCGCAACAGCAGCAGCAGCAGGCGGAGGGGGCTGTTAAACGCAGTGGGAGTGTGGGCCGCGACGGCAACGGTGACACTGGCAGCGCGGAAGGTACGGTCGGCACCGGCTGCACCTCACCCTCAGCCTCACCCTCACCTCCGCCGGTGTCACCGCCGCCGCCACCACCACCGCCGCCTCCTGTGCCCCTCTTGCCGCATGCGAACCAGCATGTCCCTGCTGAGACCGCCGCCGCTGACTTCGCCGCTGCTGCGGCTGGCCCAGCCCGCGTAGCTACGGGCATGCAGGCGCTGCCCTCGCAGGGCGGTCTGCCGACTCAGGTCTACATGACGACGACCACGACAACGGCGCCTGCATGCGGCAGCGGAGCGGGCGGCAGCCTGGGGCAGCAGCTCAATTCGGGCTCGGCGGCGGTGCCGGCGGCGCAACAGCAGCAGCACCCACCCATGCAGCAGCAGCAGCAGCAGCACCCGCCCATGCAGCAGCCGCAGCACCCACCCATGCAGCAGCAGCAGCAGCAGCACCCACCCGTGCAGCAGCAGCAGCACCCGCCCATGCAGCAGCCGCAGCACCCACCCATGCAGCAGCAGCAGCAGCAGCACCCACCCATGCAGCAGCAGCAGCGGCAGTGGGGGCCAGCGCTGCCACAACACGCACAGCTGCAGCAGCAGCCCCAGTGTTTGCTTCAGCAGCAGTGGCAGCAGCACCACTGGCAGCAGCAGCCGCAGCACCAGTGGCAGCAGCCGTCATTTCAAGGGCAGCAGCAGCCTCAGCACCAGTGGCAGCAGCAGCCGCTTCAAGGGCAGCAGCAGCCTCAGCACCAGTGGCAGCAGCCGCCGCCGCTTCAAGGGCAGCAGCAGCCTCAGCACCAGTGGCAGCAGCAGCCGCTTCAAGGGCAGCAGCAGCCTCAGCACCAGTGGCAGCAGCAGCCTCAGCACCAGTGGCAGCAGCAGCCTAAGCACCAGTGGCAGCAGCTGCCGCCACCGCAATACCACCACCATCAGCAGCAGCAGCCGCAGCAGCCTCACCACCCCCAGCTGCAGCAGGACCCCCGGCAGCAGCCCTGGGAGCGCCCCGGCGGGGAGTGCTGCCACTGCAAGCAGGGGGGGCACTGGGCCGAGTACTGCCCCAGCCGACAGCGGACGTGATGAAGGGGCGCAGGTGCAGGTGCAGGTGCCGGGGGGGGGCAGCAGCGGAGTTGGCAGCCGTGGGAACGAGGTGGGCAGCGGGTGGTGATGTTGAAATGGGATGTGGGATGTGGGCAGCGTAACTCGGAAGGACGGGTGGGAAGCGACAGCAGCAGCAGATGAAGAGGGGGGCAGCAGACGCGTTGAGGAGGGCAGTGAGCTCTCATGCGGCGCTGGGTCGCTGCTGGGGTGTGTGGAGTCCGGGGGCGGTCTTGCCATCATGTGTCAGGAATGTCTGTCAGGCGTCCCTGGCGCGTGTGTGCAGGGCACCGAATGTGCAGGAGACGTTGGTTGTGCCTTGTGCGCCGAGATGATGGGCGTAGAGAGATGCACAGGTGCAGAGCAGTGCAGTGCAGTGCAGTGCAGGGCTCTCCCCGCTTGCAGGCAGGGGACACGTGCCGCGCAGCATGGCAGGCTAGCTGAAGCCACAGCTACATGTTCAGGCTAAATTCTTCGAAGGAGGAACTACATGCCAAATTTGCAGCAGAGGCAGTAGAATAAGGCACCTTGCGCGTGTTATGGAAAATATTTTTGCAACGTTTGCGCAGAACTGTTGCACCTTTGTATAAGATTGCGGATGCAAGGGTGGTCTTCCTTTCCACGGCTTTTGGCAAGGTTGCTTATCCTCGCCGGATTGCTCATGCTTTTAGCACTGTCCGTGGGCTTTTGACTTCTTTAGCTGCTGGGGGACCATAGCAGGGCAAAACAACCGGACGGCTGGCTCCAGCATATCCTCCCGTGCGGGTGTGTCGGTAGCTGACTTGACACCGGAAGTGCATCATGCAAGGCATGCAGCCATGCTGGGAGAGGACACTACTTCCATGCATGTTGTAATCCGGCCCTCATGGATAACCCGTACCCGTGTCTACCTGTATCCCAGTTGACCAACAGCCGTGTTGCATGTTGGTGGTACACCCCGGGTTAAGCCCCACCCACCCCAGAGCCCAATCGGCCCCGCAACAGCTGCAGCAGCATGCAAGGCAGCAGCAGCAGACGTCGCCTTCATTAAAAGCACTACAAACAAGGCAACCCAACACGGAGACTAAGCCTGCATGCTGCCTGCACACATCGACCACACCCCCTGTTGCACACACGCTATGCTAGTGGCTCTCTTCCTGCCGCTCCATATCACTCACATCATGTCACACCAGCTCTCATGCACGATCTACAGATGATGGCCGCAAGGCCTCAACCTCCAGCCCACCCTATCTAAGCCGCCATCTTCTCTTTGCACATAGCAAGCACGGGCGAGGAGCGCCCTTCAGAGGTGGCAACCAGATTGCACACACCTCTCCTGCAACGTGCTTTACTACGGCGCGTAAACCTAGGAAGAACGCTCAGCCATCCTCACGCACACATGTTAGTAAGCTGAAGACCCTCCTGCTCCTCTGTCCCTGTCCACCAAGTCTCGGGTGATGCACCCTGGCTCCACGCCATAGCCCCCGGTGGACACAAACTTCATTTTTTGCGCGCATGCAGGCCCGTCAACATTCACACGTGTCTACATGCATCTTCCATGCTCACACTTTACCGGTAGTCCCAATGCCTTCAAAACGCGGACAGCAACAAACCTGCAACGCCCCCCGCAAGATCAAGTATACGTACTCTACCGGCTAGCGCCACGCCGGCGAGTGCTCAAGTCCATCCAGCAAAGAATCCCCACACCTACGCATCCCAGCTTGGTAAGAAAAACGCCGTATGCAAAGGAAGGCCATCCCACTCCGCTGCGTCCTTGTCGACACACAACACATGTCACACAAAGCAGCAGCTCCGAAACTGGCCGCACCCTCCTGCTGTGTCCCCAGCTGCTGCAATCCAACACACGTTCCCTAAACATCCCAACACATCCCAATTCCACCTAATTGCTCACACACCCTCATTCAGCTGCCGCTGCTGCTGTCGCCGCTCACACCTTGAAGTTGTACATCACCATGGGCCCCGCCACCTGCTTCATCTTCTCCTCCCCGAACAGCTGCTTCACCAGGGAAAGCGCGAACTCGAATGCCGTACCCGGACCCCGGCTGGTGGTCAGGTTGCCATCCACCACCACTCGGTCCATCACCTTGCTGCGCGTTGGGGAGACAGGGGGGCGGGGCCGGGGGCGGGGCGGGAGGAGCAAGGAGGGGCGGGGTGAGGCAGGTGGCGGGAATGTGGCGGGGTGTGCGAGGTGATTGCACAAGGCGGTACCGGTATGAAGGTACGGGTAGGGGTGCGAAATGGCGCCTGGGCGGCGGGTAAAAGAACTAGGAAGACATGAGGAAGCGCATGTCCTTGCGCTGCTCATGAGGTCCGCATGCCGCATGCCCGCATGGCGATCCATGCGCTGCTCGTTCGGCCTGCGCGGAGCACTAATGCGGCAGACAGACAGCCCAGCAGCAGCCCAGCAGTGCGCACCTCTGGTCTTTGAGCCCGTCGGAGAAGGCCGGGTGTGCGGTTGCCCGCTTGCCCCCGATGAGCCCCTTGGTTTCTAGGAACACAAACGGGGTGGCACAGATGGCCGCGTACATGCGACCCGCCTCCTTCTGTGCTAGCACCAGGCTGCCGAGCTCAGCGCAGTCACGCAGGCGCTCTGCACCCGGCATGCCGCCCTGCGAGAATGAGCATCAGGGATGGGCAGAGACAAGTGTCGCGCGTCCGCAGTAGAAGGAGTTGTTTTGAGGCTGTTTAGGGTGGGTGCGAGGAAGCTGGGGTGGCAAATCGTTAAACCCTAGGGCTTTGGCCTGGAAAGCCGTTGTACCGGAAGGCCTTATGGAACCTGAAACCTTCGATCTAGACCAACAGCGCTTACTGGGCAGGCGATTAGGTCGTAGCTGTTTTGTCCGCATTCGCCGATCAGCTTGTCCGCTACCAGCCTGACGCCGCGAGCGCAAACGACCTCATTGGTACTCTCAACACTGGCGACGCATACACGCGCGCCTGCTCTCCGAAGTATGTCGATGACAATTACAGCTTCCATTTCCTCCGTCCCATTTGCGATAGGAACCAATACTCGCTTCTCCTTGGGCCCAGACGTCGCCATCGCCGCGACGCAGCGCTTTTGCGGCCGATCAATCCGCGGAAAAGCAAGAGTCATTTGTAAACGTGGGCAGCGAGCCTGGGCAGTGGCTGCAGTTCGGCTGCTGATCGGGACAGTCCGCTGCGCAGCTGTCAACAGCATCTCGGGTCTTGTCGTGCCACTAAAGGGATCTTAAGAAAAGGCAGTAATATCAACTTCCTTACAAAGTATATAGATCGAAACAAGTAAACATCAACTTGCTTATGAACGGGACCGTACAGTATGACCACGTGGGCCCTTCAACTACGCAGTAGCGATCGCGGCATGCAGTCTGCAACACTGTCACTCCGCAACTCTTAAGACATATAGTACTGAGCGTGCAATTGCTTAAGCCACCGCTGCACCACCCTGGCAGCCGTCATCCGTACGACGCTTTGATGAAATGCCACACAGCCAACCTACGGTTAGTAATAAGCGCCGCACCAGGTACGAGCATCGTTATTCGTCAAACCCCCGGGGTCCCGCACTCCTGCTCGAAGCAAGAAGGGGAACAAACACCCCAGTCAACTAAAGCTTCACGCCTCTCCGGTCCTCGGCTTCCTCCGCCTCGCATGTTTCCTCCTCTCGCACCAACCTGCGGGGAAGACCATCACCTACCGGTGCCCTCAGTCTTACCCATCCCCCTGTCTGCCCCCATGCCAACGATTCACCGCTAGTTAGCGCCGTAAGGATACGGCTTCAACTCGAACATCACGCCGCTCATTCCCGTCCAAAGTTAAGGAAGGGTCCTGCGGCCCTCTTGTCTTTGTTGTCCTCTTGTCCTCCACATCTGCATCCACCTTGCCCCCCTACCGTGTCCGTTTGGGCGGCTTCGTCTTGGACGCCGAGGACGGCACCCACTTGCGCAACACGATTCCCTTCACCCCGCCCTTCCGCCGCTTCGTCGGTGTCGCAATCGCAGCCACCTGCGCTCCGCCCCCTCCCGGGCTGCTGCCTCCTTCCTGCGATGAGGCCTTGCGGTGAAGGAATCGCTGCACCCAGGTTCCCTTGTTTCCGGAGTGGCTCTGTGTCGCTCCCACATGCTCCGAACCCAAAATCGCGATATTGCAGGTGGCAGCAGCGGCGGCTGCAAGGTACAGCTGCTGCTGCTGCTGTTGCAGCTGAGTGAGGTGAGCGGGAGGCATCATGTTGCCCGGCGCCGAGCACCTGCGTGTGGAATGAGGCGGGGGTCAGAGGGAGGAATTCAGGCAATGTCGGGAAGAAAGAAACCGCAAGGTAGGCACCACTCGTACCAGCCAAAACACCCCGCCGCGCCGTGCTCACTGCAACCCTCCCTACTGCAACCAGCTCCTCGCCCCCCTCACCTGTACGCCCCGCTGCGAGCCCACCGCAGATCCGGCAGCTCCCGTCCAGCACCAGCCGCCCCCACCGCCACAGCCCCCGGAGGCGCCCCGCCTGCCGAGGGCGACACATGCACTGAACTCGTCGCCCAGCGCCCATGCGGCCGGGGAGCCGAGGGCACCGCACCCGGCAACACAAACGTGTGCTCCTCCTCCTCCGGGATCACTCGCTCCCGGCTTCCGGCCGCACCGCCGCCCATGCTGCCTCCAACTCCAACTCCAAGCCCACCGCCCATGCTGCCACCACCACCTCGATGTTCGTGTGCTCCTCCTCCTCCTCCTCCGGCCGCAGCCCCGCCTGCACTGGCCCTGCCGCTGCCGTCACCGGTGCCCCCGCCGCCGCCATTGCTGCTGCCCCATGCGGGGACGGGTAGGAGCACCATGTCACTCCCGTTGCTGCTAGCCAGGGGGTTGTTGTTGTGGTGGTTGTTATTGATGTGTCGCTGTGAGCGGCCCAGACCCGTCAACCAGTTGTCGCGAACAGGCGGAGCCACTCCGGCTGCGGCCGCGGCTGCTGCTGTCGCACCCCCGCCACCGCCACCACTGGCCCGTAACGCCGACTGACCGGCAACACCCCCAGGCGGCTGCGGCTGCTGCTGCAAGTCACGAGCCTGCTGCTGCTGCTGGTTCGGCTGCGGCTGGTTTTGCTGCTGCGGTTGCTGCTGCTGGTTATGCGCATGATAGTGGCCGTGCAGGTTGTGTGTGTTGCTAAGGGGTGGCAGGGGCCAGGAGAGCTCCGCTAGGCCGTTGCTGCGTCGCAGGTCATCCATGGCGTCCTGCAGTGCTGCTGCGGCCTGGCGGGCGGCCGCCGCCTCCACCTGCGCTGCGACCGCCTGGGCCCGCATGGCTGCCAGCTGCTCGTTGGTCGCGGATAGCTCCTTCCGCAGCTCGGCTAGCTGGTCCCCGCGGTGTAGGAACCGCACCTCGAGTTGCCTGGGGCGCGGGGAGGGAAGAGGACATTCGGATGAAATTAGAGGCTTCATTTGCTTCACAGCTTTCGCGGGTGTTGTATTCAGCGGTTGGCCCAAGCGACGGCATACGCCCTGCCAAACAGCCAAGGTGCACAGTGCACGGGTGCACATGCTACCTCAACTGGATATCTCACACAGCCGAGAGCCCCCTCAGGACTAACAACCCCCCCTCACGCACCTCAACTTGCTCGTCAGTAGCTCCTCCCGATACTCCACCGCACGAACCTCCGCCGCCTGCCTGTCACACCTGGACAACGCCTCCGCCGCCTGCTGCCGCAACCGTGCAGCCTCCGAAACCGCCCCTCGCAGTGCCGCATCCAGCTCCCCGGCCTGCCTCTGCAGCTCCCCAATCTGCGTGTCCCGGCTCGCCAGCAGAGCCTCCCGGCCTGCCGCCAGACTGCTCGCATAGCCCTGAAGCTCCGTAAGCCGACTGTCTCGCTCACTTAGGGCGCTTTCAAGCGTGACGGTGCGCTCCAGTAGCTCCATGACCTCCCGCTCGCGGTTGTCTAGCTGAGCCTGCAAGCCAGCCTCGCGAACCAGGCTGGCCTCGAGTGCTGCTGCGGCAGCGGCAGCCTCGGCTGCTGCGGCTGCTTGTGCTGCTGACTGTGCAGTGGCTTCGGCGTCAGCTGCTGCTGCTGCGTCCTGGGATGCTGGGAAGTCGGCAGCTTCGGCTGAAGATGAGGCTGAGGGTGAGACTGGGACTGCGTGCGCAGTGGCCCCGGCCTCACATGTCTGTTCTGTGTCGAAGAAAGTCACGACTGGGGCCTGTGCTGGGGCTTGTGCTGCTGCGGTGGAGATGCTACTGGTGGCGGGGGGACTGTCGCCGCCGCCATCGCTGTTGGCCCAGGGCGCAGGTGGATGGTCCTCCAGATCAGGCCTGATGCGGATGGAAATAGGTCAGCCACAGGGCAGGGAAAGGGTTGGCCACACGGTTAAGTAGCAAGCAACGCAGCAAGCAGCGAGGCGAGAAGCACAGCAAGGCAGCACGGGCGAGAGATGACACGTCCCTGCACACCTCCCCATGTGCCCGTTCTCACCCGACGGGCGACAGCAGGCCAATGTAGCCACATCCCTGGCTCGGACTGCCCACTGCACTGCCGCGTCCAGTCGTCTGGGGGCTCTCATCATACGCCCAGCCATCCGCCTCCACCTCGCCAAACGGCGAAGGAGAACCACTACCGCCCTCGCCGCAACGCAGCGGTGAGATGCCACCGCCACCGCCACCGCCGCCGACACTTCCTGGTCCCGGGTGGAAGGCCCCAAAGCCGCCCAGACCCTGGTTCGAACCCCCGGCGAAGACGCTTGGGGACGTCTGGATAGCCACCGTTTCCCGTTGAATGGTCCCTAGGGCAGCCGGAGCTTGAGATGTTGAGGGGGAGGGTGCTGGTGAGGGTGAGGGCGCTGCCTGCTCCGGTCGTGTACGAGGGCAGCTCTCGTTCTTCGCAGCACCACCAGCAGCAGCAGCAGCAGCTGATACCTCTTGTTCAATGCTTTGCAACCGCAGTCGAGCCTCCGCGAGCTGGGACTCCAGTCGGGCGACTTGTTGGGTGCGCTCGGAGAGACTGCAAGGGAAACACGAGGGCGGGACAGACAGACATATAGAACGACCCATGGGTCAACATGTCTAGGAAAGACTATTGGAGTATTGGTGGGCGAGTCAGAGGTGTACCCAATGCTCGCCGTGTCCTAGGGACGCTCCATGTGAACCAGGTGACCTTGTTGCAAGCCCCTGCTTCCAGCCCCCCAGCCAACCACTCACCCCTCCCGCAACTTCGCCAGCAGTCCCAGCATCCCCGCCGCCATAGCCGAGGCGGGCGCCACGGAGCCGCCTGTCGTAGGCAGTGTCAGCTGCAGCGACTGCTGCAGCCCTTGTAGCGCCCCAGGACTCCGCGACCCGGGCTCCCCCGCAGTGTTAGAAACTGCCAGAGGGCCCCGAGGGGGCGACCTGAGCACCACTGCGCTGCTAGCTCCCGGGGAGGAACCACCACCACCACCACCAGCAACCCCGCCACCAGCAACTGCCCCACCGCCTGGTGACATCGTCATCATCGTCGTCATCATGGTCGAGGTCGTGGTGCCCCAAATGGGTCCCAGGCTCCGAGGGGTGGTCAGGGGCCAGCAGGCCGAGGGCGAGCCGGGCAGCGACTCCGTGGCAGTCGTGAGGGAGAAGCGCCGCCGCGGGGGCGGGGGCGGTGAGGCTGCAGAGGGAGTGGTGCCGCCGGCGGTGCTGTTGGTCGCCTTGTTGTAGGGCGGTTGCTGCTGCTGCTGCTGCGAGTGTGGTGAGGGTTGTGGTTGCGGTTGTTGCTGCTGGGAGAGACCGGGAGAAGAGATGACGGTGGCAGCGGAGGAGGGCTCCAAGAAGCCCTGACGAGCCATGATCTTGAGCTCGCCGTACATCCTGATGGCGGAGGAGGGCGGAGGGAGGTACGGATGGGATGTACGAAGAGATGTGAGCAGGGGAGGAACGAGTAAAGCTGGACTAAAGGTGGTGGCTAAATCGTAACGGTCGAGTACGTCATATGTGTGTGATATTCATAGGCGTATGAACCCCTGGAGGCACGGTCATCGGTAGAGTGCCGTCAGGAGTGCTTCTGTGTGCGCTTCAGGAGCGCTCCTAAACTGCTATACGCCAGCCCTCTATCGCCTCCCCCTCCCTCACCTAGACACGAGCTCCTCAAAGCCCCGCAGCCGCTCATCCCGCTGACTCAGGTCCTCACTCATGACCGCGTTCAAGTGTGAGAGCACCTCGATCTGGGGTGGTGGGTGGGGTGGGGTGGGTGAGGCGAGGTTGGGTGGGATAGGTAAAGTGAGGTGTACAGGAGAAACGAACAAGGCACAACAGGGCATCTGAGCCGGGAGGCAGCGACGGATGGGCAACGCCGTGTCGTGTGGATGTAAATGCAGCGCAGCAAGACCTCCGGCGCAGCTTACCCGCATGGCGTCATGCCGTGCGTCTGCAACCGCCGTTTGGAGCTTCTGACGCAGCTGAGTCTCACTCTGCGGTCAGTCAAAAGCAGTTCGAGGGAGTGGGAGAGATGCTGAGGCATTGAGAGCGGACGTACACGCCAGGGCACCATGGATGCACATGAACCGCCACACACCGGCAAGACACGGCCACGATATACCCACAACACCATCATGCAGCAGGCACAGCATCGAACACACCCCAGCCCCATCCCACCTGCAGCCTCATGGCCAGCTCGTTCTCCAGTTGCTCCACATTCTCCGCCAGAAGCCGCTGCCTCGCCACCTCCTCCCGCAACCTGCTCGCCTCCGTTCGCAGGGACTGAGCGCAGGGGGAGCAATCCGCACTGCGCACCCCCGCCGCACGACCCCCGCTGCTCAGGGCGCCGCTGATGACGACGACAGACGCTCCTGCTCCTCCTGGCGAGGGAGAGGAACGCAAGCTGGTTGAAGCGACAGCCGCAGAAGTGGAGCGCCGTCGCCGCCTGCCTGATACCGAGGCGGGGGAGGAAGCTGGCGAGCCGGCAGTGGGCGTCACGAGACGCAGGGGGCCCATGGCGGTGTGCATGGGCGTGTGAGTGGCAGCACCAGCAGCAGCAGCGGTGCAGCAACTCTTCGGGGAGCCGTACTTCGGGGCTCCTGGTGATAGCCATGCTCCTGTTTGGTGATGTTGTGGTTTCGGGGAGGTCAGACCGGTGACGGATGGCGACATGCCCGCCGTACGAACCGACGTGGTTGGAGTCATATCCGCAGTGTAGTGTGAGGGTGAAATACCGTCGGCGGTTGGTTGTTGCCCAAAGGCGGTTGAGAAGCTGTTCTCGTCGTTGCTTCGGTTGTTGGCGGCGTAACGTTGCTTCGGCGTGCGGCGACGGGCGCGTCGATTGATGCGGACCACGCTGCCCAGCTCGGGCGTGCTCCTTGCCAGGGGGCTCGTGTTGTTGCTGTTGTTGTTAGCTCGGTAACCGCGGCTAGGGCCCAGGACCACAACCGGCGACGCGCAACGACCGAAATCCACGCAGCTGGCACGAGCAGCAAAGTCCGGCGCGACGTGTTGGGTGTGAAGGCTGCTGTTGGGTGTGATGTCGGCCAACTGGGACTCCTGTTGCTGCTGGGACCGCTGGGACCGCTGGGAGTGCTGCATGGAGGTCATGGAAGCAGCAGCAGCGGCGACTGCGCTGTCCTCTTCTGTCACTCCTGTTGCAGTCCTACGAGGGTGCTGCTGCTGCAGCAGCGGCGGGCTGCTACATGGCGTCTCGGAGGCCGAGGCAGAGGCCTCCTCCAGCACCTGTTGCATGGGCCAGGGAACCGGGCGCCAGGCTGCCGCTGCCCCTCCTCCTCGAGGCCTGGCCTCCACGGTGGGCATGCCGTACATGTGGGTTTGTTGTTGTACGGATGCGTCGTACTCGTACGGACTCTCGTACGCAAAAACGGATGCAGCGTCTTGCTCCAGAATCGGTTGGACGTTTGCGCCTCCTTGTTGTTGTTGTAGCGAGAAGCAGTCGTCTTGGTTCTCACCCTCCCGGCGGCGTAGCGGACCTACCACGGACTCGGGCGCCGGGGTGGTGGGTCGGCTGCCATGCCAGGGCGTCAGACGGTCCAGCTGCTCCGCTGGGGGCAGCGGCAGCTCGCAAGCAATGGAGTCGGAACCGTTCCCAGACCGAGTAACCCGGGGAGCGGGACCCGTCACCTCATCCTCATCCGCCTCCGAGCACGCTCCTCCGTCGTCCCGGCATTCAAACAACGGGTTCACACGCACCAGCGTGTTACGGGAGTTGGAGTACGGGGTACCCCCTCCCGCCTGGCCGCTGCCGCCGTTGTTGCCGTTGTTGTTGTTTCCTCCAACGGTATTGACGTGACGTGTGGCTCCTGACAAGGCAGGAGCGGGAGCGGAAGCGGCCTGTCGCTGGCGGGTGTTCACCGACCTAGGAGCTGACTGCACGGGTGTGTACTCCGCTCGCCCGCCCGCTGACGCGCTGAACTGCCGCATCGGCTGCCGGTCGAAACCAGCCCGCTTGTGCTGCTGCTGCTGCCGGTGCTGCGTCCCATGAAGGGCTGCTGCTGCTGCTGCTTCAGAGGAGGTCGCATGGGGCCCGCCGGCTCCGCGGGCCCGGACACGGTCACCCTTAACATCAACGCTGCTGTGGTCGGCATCGATGGCGGCTCCTTGACGTGCGGGGATATCGTCCTGCTGCATCTCTGACGGGGATGGAGCATGTTCTTGGCTAGAGGAGGGGGAGGGCCCGGCGGGGCTAGCAGCAGCAGCTGTACCTCCGCTGCTGCCCCAGGGGTTAGCCGACCCCTCCTGCCCCACCGCCACCTCCTCCAACTCCTCCTCCTCCACCTCCCCACCCTCCAGCTCCTCCTCCATGCGGCCCTCCTCCTCCTCCGTTGCCGCTCCGCCCTGTAGCATTTCTTCTTCCTCCACATCCACCTCATCCTCATCCTCCGCCTCTTGCCAGCACGGCTGAGATAAGTGAACCGGCGAGCCAGTCTTGGAGGCATTGTAATAGCAGCAGCCACCGCAGCCGCCCGAAAACAGCCCATCCCCGCCGCAACCGCCGCTGGCGCCAGGACTCAACACACTCGAGTCGCCAAACGTGGAGGGCGTCCCCGGGATCACTCGCATGGCCTCACTGCCCGGGGACCCGGGTGCTGTCCGCGGCTCCTCCTCTTCCCCTTCCTCTTCCTCCTCTTCCGTCGCCGGATCCCTCAGGTCGCCTGCGGCGCTCGTCCGGTCCCCCCACAGCTCCGCGAGGGCCTCTTCGTGCCCTCCACCTCCCGCCTCCTCCTGCTCTTCCTCCTCCACCTCCTCCTGGGGCATCCCAGCAGCTAGCCCATCATCACTACCACCGGCTGCTTCCCCTCTGCTGATGCTCTCGACGCTTTGCCGCATCCGAGAACCAGCCGAGGCGGATGAGCAAGACGCCACCGCAGCTGCGGCGGTATCACCCCGCCGCCCCCCACCGCACAACGGCTCCTCGCGGACTGCCACGTCACCTCCACCCGCAGACGACGCAGCAACCACCACCGCTGCCGCCGCAGTACCAGCAGCAGCAGCCGACCGCTGCCGGGTCTCCAAGAGCAGCGCGTTCTGCGCCTCTTGGAACGCCAGCTCCGCCGCCCTCCTCAGCTCCCCCTGCTCCTCCAGCTCCGCCAACAGGTCCTCCGACTGCTCCCGCAGCCTCTCCTGCAGCCCCACTGCGGCCTCGTGCAGCTCGCGAACACGTGCGGGCTCCAGGCCGCGACGAACCCCACGTGACGCCGCGGAGATGATAGAGATTTGGGATGATGGACCGCTGCTGGGAGACTGCTTGGAGACTGCTTGGGATTGCGACACTGCCGGGGGACTCTTCATCCGGCTGCAGCTGCCGCGGCGGCTCTGCTCCTCCTCCTTCTGCTGCTGCTGTTGGTGGTGATGCGAAGCAAGGTGAGAAGCAAGGTCGGGAAGGGAGTTAAGGGAGCAGAGGAGCTCCTCGTGCTCTGCCTGCAGTGCCGCCAGCTGATGGGCAGTCTCAAGGTGCTGCTGCTGCGCGTCAGATCGCTCCCGAGTGACGGTCTGCAGCTGCTCCTCGAGTGCCTGAGGGAGCGGGCGGAGGGGGGGCGTGGAGGACGGGGGTGGAAAAAATTTAAGATAAGTGCAGCAACAGGAGGAAAGTGTTGCGGGTGTTTGCGGAGACATTCTACATACGATGTCGTACATGACAGACAGAGAGGAAGCGTGTGTTGTGGGAGGATGCGCAGGCGTTGGATGTCATCAAAGATGCTGGAATCACAGCTGCAGCGACCCATGGGTCACATCTTAGCAAGTCTGCTGTCGCAGCAGCCCCTCAGCCCCCCAGCCGAGTCGTACCGCCCCTCCCCCCACCTTGTACTGCTCCAGGGTGGGTCGGGACCTGAGCTCCAGCAGCTCCGCCTCGCACTGCAGGGAGGGTGAGGGAGAGGGAGGGAGAGGGAGGGAGAGGGAGGGAGAGGGAGGGAGAGGGAGGGAGAGGGAGGGAGAGGGAGGGAGAGGGAGGGAGAGGGAGGGAGAGGGAGGGAGAGGGAGGGAGAGGGAGGGAGAGGGAGGGAGAGGGAGGGAGAGGGAGGGAGAGGGAGGGAGAGGGAGGGAGAGGGAGGGAGAGGGAGGGAGAGGGAGGGAGAGGGAGGGAGAGGGAGGGAGAGGGAGGGAGAGGGAGGGAGAGGGAGGGAGAGGGAGGGAGAGGGAGGGAGAGGGAGGGAGAGGGAGGGAGAGGGAGGGAGAGGGAGGGAGAGGGAGGGAGAGGGAGGGAGAGGGAGGGAGAGGGAGGGAGAGGGAGGGAGAGGGAGGGAGAGGGAGGGAGAGGGAGGGAGAGGGAGGGAGAGGGAGGGAGAGGGAGGGAGAGGGAGGGAGAGGGAGGGAGAGGGAGGGAGAGGGAGGAGAGGGAGGGAGAGGGAGGGAGAGGGAGGGAGAGGGAGGGAGAGGGAGGGAGAGGGAGGGAGAGGGAGGGAGGGGAGAGGGAGGGAGAGGGAGGGAGGGAGAGGGAGGGAGAGGGAGGGAGAGGGAGGGAGAGGGAGGGAGAGGGAGGGAGAGGGAGGGAGAGGGAGGGAGAGGGAGGGAGAGGGAGGGAGAGGGAGGGAGAGGGAGGGAGAGGGAGGGAGAGGGAGGGAGAGGGAGGGAGAGGGAGGGAGAGGGAGGGAGAGGGAGGGAGAGGGAGGGAGAGGGAGGGAGAGGGAGGGAGAGGGAGGGAGAGGGAGGGAGAGGGAGGGAGAGGGAGGGAGAGGGAGGGAGAGGGAGGGAGAGGGAGGGAGAGGGAGGGAGAGGGAGGGAGAGGGAGGGAGAGGGAGGGAGAGGGAGGGAGAGGGAGGGAGAGGGAGGGAGAGGGAGGGAGAGGGAGGGAGAGGGAGGGAGAGGGAGGGAGAGGGAGGGAGAGGGAGGGAGAGGGAGGGAGAGGGAGGGAGAGGGAGGGAGAGGGAGGGAGAGGGAGGGAGAGGGAGGGAGAGGGAGGGAGAGGGAGGGAGAGGGAGGGAGAGGGAGGGAGAGGGAGGGAGAGGGAGGAGAGGAGGGAGAGGGAGGGAGAGGGAGGGAGAGGGAGGGAGAGGGAGGGAGGTGAGGCTCCCAGACTACCATGCGGCAGCGGCCAACTGGCAACTGGGATTAACACGCAGTCTCTGCGCCCCAAAAGAGCAGGCAGCTAGCCCTGCGAGTCCGCATGCAGCACCTGCAAGGTACACCATGCACGTTACCCTGCCCCCCCACCTGCTCCACGGTGGCTTCCAGGGCCGACATCTCGCACCGCTGCTGCTCGCACTGCTCCTCGAGGGCGGCATGCTCTCTGTGGTAGGGGAGGGGAGGGAAATGCAAGGAAACAAGGCGGGAGAGGTAACTGTCAGACCCCGCATGCACCCGTCATTGCCTCAACGATACGCTCCCTAGTTCCTGCACATGCAAGCAAGCCAAGAACGCCACTCCCACCTCTATCCCAGTCTCCCGTCAGCCCCACTCCACACTGCACCTCCCTCCCCCCACCCCCTCTTCCCAGCACCTCCCCCACCCTCTCAGTCTCGCATGCGCCGCCTCCACCGCCGCCAGCCGCTCCTCCAATTCCCCGTTCAGCTCCAACGCGTGACGCAGCTCCGAGGCGCGTGCGGCCGCCTGGTCCCGCCACGCGGACAGCTGTTCAATGTTGCGAGGCACGGCGCCGTCCTGCAAGGAAACGTCCAGCAGGGAGCGTTGGAGGTAAGAGGTGTGCTGGGAGTGAGGGCGAGCGTCTAGCATGGCTTGCATGCATGCATAAATGGAAGCCGTTTACTGCCTCCCCCTCTCCTGCTGATCTGTCTGCTGTGCCTCCCACCTCCCACCAGCCCCTTTCCCGGTCCGCTGCTGCTGCCCCATCTCACCCCAACTCACCTCCGCATGCAGTGTTCTGAATATGGATAGCTCCTCCCTCAGCCTCCGCACCTCCCCCTGCAGCACGATGGCGTCCCCTTGGTGGTCCTCATTCACAACGGCCTGAGGGGAATGGGGGGGGCAACGGGAAGTAGGGGAAGCTGAGGAAGAGGCGGCAGCGTGACACTGCAGCAGCGACAGAGGAACGGAAGCAGCAGTAAGAGGCTAGGCGTCGATGGAGGAGCGTCGTTTGCCAGGATTGCCTCGATGGGTGCATGACCAGGGCTCCGTTTCCTAGGCAGTTCGCCCAGTAATCCCGGTATGCGAGTTCACAACACACAACAACGTAAGGGTCAACACGACAGAGTACGAGGTCACTACAAACGTACCCTGTTGCGAACCCGTTTGGCTCGAATCGCAAAGCCCAGTGTCATGTTGGTTTCGGAGGCGCAGGTGGGGGAGGGGTTCAGGTTGGCGATGATGAGCGTCTTGGCGTTACCGCCCAGACAGTCCTGAGGGCGGACAACGGCCGGGGGGGCCGCGTGAGTGTTTAGGGAGGAAAGAGAGAAAGAAGTTGAGAGGGAGTGTCACTGCAGAGCAGAGGGGCAAGCGTGCGGTGACATTCATGTGTCACTGCGCAGTAAGAAAGGGGACGGCATGCAGGCTGCTACATTCCAGATAAAATCCCCAACAACAGACAACCCTCCATGCAGCAGGATGCCGAGCCCTGCCCCCACCTGCAGGATGTACGTCAGCTTGGAGTCGCGGTACGGCACCGGACCCTGGCTCCGGCTGGAGAGGCGGGAGATGACGAGGCACAGCGTGCTCAGCGACTTGTTGATCGCGTTGGCCTCCTTCTGACGCGCGCTGTGGGAGGGGTGCGTGTGCAGGAGTGTGGGTTTGGGTTCGGTTAAACATGTTAATAAGCTGTGTGGCAGAGGGCCGGGTCGAGAGGGAGTACCGTAGGTTGAACAGAGGGCAACTTGCACGGCGTGCATGTGTTCATACTCTGTTTGATGCCTCCCCCCTTACCTCGCTGTCTCGCCGCCCAGTCCCTTGGCGGTGCGCTCGCTTCCCGCCAGATCCACCAGCTGCAGCCGCGACCTCCGGATGCGCACCACCCCGGTGTCCTTCGTGTCCTTGGCCTCCATGTGCAGCGTGAGGATGCAGTGCGAGCGGCTGGACACGGGGTTGGAGGCGGTCTCCGCCACTGCGCGGTGCGAGGTGCCCACTCGGAGCAGCTTGAGGGCCTCGGTAGCTGCGGGGGTGGGGGTCGGGGAGGAGATAAAGCAGAACCAGAGGTTATGGCAAAGCAATGGGGCGGGGTGGTGGAGGAGGAGTGGGGGGTGGGTTGTATAGGGAGTAAGACAAGACACAGCCTCAGTACGACCAGGGAAACAATCACACGGCATGTACTCGGCAACCTAGGTGGGTTGCATGGACAGGCGGAATGTGACGCGGAGAACTGCAGTTGCCAAGCGCGGCGGCTGCGGCCGAGACACAAAGGGGAAAGAGGGGCTGCGCCGTTGCTGCTCAGGACGTCGCTCAGAACGTCTTGCTGGGACTCACCCGACCGCACGGTCACCTCCGTCAGGCCCACCACAGTCACGCCACCCTGCATGCTCTCTCGCAGCTGCAGCCGAATAGGCCTGCGTTGTTGGAATTGGACAACAATCAGCGTTGCAACAGCAAGTAATCAGCAAGAGGTTAGGGTCAGCCCGCATCAAGTTCCATCATTATGAAGCTTATCCCATAATCCCAAACCATGTTGCAATCCCGCAAACCCGTGATCCCAAACGCAATGTGAACGGCTTGGCGGGTTCCACATACCTCCTCCGCCCCCCCATTTGGGTATTCTTCTTTCCCCTCCCTCCCTCCCCCACCCACCTGGGCGACAGCAGGTCCGTCACCACCTCCTGGTAGATCTGCAACATGCTGGCCTTCACCAGGAACTGAGTGGGAGTGGGGTCGGCTGCAGCGCCCCCTGCACCCCCGCCAGGCGTGCGGACTGCGGACCCGGGCGGCCGCTCGGCAGGGGGCAGCATGCCGGCAGGGGCCTGCAGCTCAGCGGGAGCTGCAGCAACAGCAGGGGGTCCTGGCTGAGTGGGCGAGGATGCCGCCTCCTGCGGCTTGTAGGGAGAGGGGTCGGAGCTAGGTCGTGGCACACCGGCGGGGGTGGGGATGCCGCTGCGCCAGCGGGGGCGGCTGCCCTCGGGAGGAGGAGGCGGGGTCTTGCATGTTGTGCTGGAGGCGGGGGGCGGGGGGGGCTGCTGCTGCCCTGGCTGGCTGGGAGGTTGGGGTTGGGAGGGCTGGTTGGGCTGGGCGAGGTCTGGGGCGGTTGCAGGTCTGGAGGTCTGGGGGTTGCTGTTGCTGTTGCTGCTGCCGGCTGTTGGCAGGCACTGCCCCTCGGCTGCGATACGTTGGAATATGTAGTCGAGCACACGAGGAATGAGGCCCGCCTGCGGTGGTTGTGGTAGTATGGGAGTGGTGAGGCAGGAGACGGGCTTCAGACAACTTAACTCGGATAACGGGGCTGCACGCCACTTATTCCCTCAGCCCCATTGCCGGCTGGGCTGCTACCGGTGCTGGGGTTCCTAGGGTAGGAGGAGGCTGCACAGCAGGGGGCTCCTAAACAGGCACATCAGCCCGCTCACTCACCTCCCGGGGCATCTCGCAGCGCTCGTAGCCGGATGACGAGCCGGGCGCCGCTCGGCCCGAGGGCACGGTACCCAGCATGGTGTGGGTCTTGCCGCTTCCGGTCTGTCCGTAGGCGATGATGGCTGCGTTGTAAAACGCGAGGAAGTGGTCCGCCATGGGCCGGCCCGCGACTGCGGTTTCGAATGGGATTCGGAGAGACAAGAGGTTTAGGGGCTGTGGATGGAAGTAGACAGGCATTGAGTTGTTTTCAAGATGTTCGCGTTACGCTAAAGGACTAAACGCTGTTACGAGAAGCTGAACGGTCTCGGGTCTAGTAGGAGTCCCGTCCCTCTACGAGCGACGCCCACCTCTGAAGAAGCTGCTTTGCCGGGTGTGTGGTGAAGCCACAAAGTCGAAATCCCAACGGGCGTTTTCAGCCCCTGGCGCCGATAGCGCGAGGCCTTTATGCCCCACATACTGCACGTAGTCCGGTAGGCCTGTGTGGAGCACAAGTGGGACATCGATGTAGAGAGGCGTACCGGTAAGCAACAAAACCAGCGGTTTAACCGCGCGACGACCATATTTCAGCGTTTTCTGCTTAATAAGGTTGACTAACGGTAAACGCAATAAGGGCGAGGCCGCGATAAACTTGAGGGAGCCTGGTAGGAATGCAACGGGCTCCTTAACGCGAGGCACACATACCTGGCGTTGTAGACGGCCGAATCTTCGGGATAAGCTGCGATTTGTAATCGTAATGAGTTGTCAGCAATTACCGAACTAGGAATGCGCCTATATAACTTGCTGGAGCCGCAAAGCATGGGCCAATTTAGCGGCAAATCCAATACCAACCTTAATGCTTTCCTCGGATGCGGCTAAACCAGCGCCTCCCCATGGACCCTCTACCATCTGCACGTTCGAAGCAGCTGAATTACAGCTTCCCCTTGGCATCTATAATTCAAGCTCGAGCTGGTCCTAAACAGATACCTGGCTGTCCACTGGGCTGCTGTCTTGGCTAGCCATTTGCAACTAAGCGAGTGTGTTATCCCTGAAGGGTACGTTTGGCATACTGGTACACCATGGTCGTTTCCATGGTTTGGGGCTAGCCTACAGTTACAAGGTTACAGTAGCTGTAAAAGTCCATGATGTTTATGGTGACATCCTTTGGAAATGCGAACCAAGCAAAAAAGAGAGCGGACGGGAAGCTGCTTATTTTGCAGAATCCAACTGTACGGTTGTCGATCCAAGCTGAACACCGTCACTGTAAGGCAAGCTCTGTTGTGTAAGAGCCGTCATCTATAGTTTTCCCCTCTAAATTACCTTTAGGAATAGGGAACATCCACCTCTTTGTGTAGCGGGAGACGAAGCACGCCTTTACTACACGAGTAGGCTACGTTGTCCACTTTTCATCTTTGCTACGTAATTTGCCTACAGCATCTGACCTTTACGTGCCGGCCCCGGCAGTATTGCGATAACACTATTTGCGCATCCTACCGTAATCCACTGTCAGGACAGGGTGGTACCAAGGAAAGCACCACCCAATTACACAACCATATAGATTAAGTCATAATTTCAAAGGATGTCGCTGAGGCGAGCAGCCGTGCTGTTGGCTCAAGGTCTTTCAGGTTCATCAGCCACAACTCTCGGCGCTGCTGCAACCCGGCTCAGTGCTGGCGCATCCACATCGGGGAGACCATGGTCCAGTTGCCTTCTCCAAGCAGCGCGGCAAGAGACCCCCATGTGGTTCGGCGCGGCCCCATGGAGGGGCACTCGCGGGGTACATGATGCTCCTGGAGCGCGTCCTAAGTCTTCCTTCACAGCAACGGACATGGCACTGTACTTGGTGCGTTGCAATCCGTGAGGCGCTTTGCTGATGCTTGACTTGAACCATTTAGTCGCTTGAACCGTTTTGTCAACAGCCACATCCATCCATTGCAGGGCTCTGCGGCTGTGTGCATGATCGGGCTGTCCTACGCATCCGTGCCCCTGTACAAGATGTTCTGCGCGGTAGGCTGACGGGGACAGGGGGAAAAGCTTGGATCCTGAGGACGACCATCCCCGAGCCCTATATGCAGCGCCAGCCACCTACCAGCCCCTGTCGTTTTGCTTCATGCCCGGGTCGCATGGCTCCCACCTCCCCTGCCACTCCTTCAAGCCGACGCTAACGCCTCCTCCCCCGCTGCCAACTTCCTGCTAACCTGCAGGCGACTGGCTTCGGAACGGGAGTCCGAGCCGGACATGTGAGGAGCGTGTTGCGTGTTGTGTGGGAGGGAGCTGAGCGCAGAGGGCAGCGGCTGTGGTGTTGTGAAGCGCAGCGGCTTTCCTTCGTGAAGCTAGCCCCGAGTATATTACCTATCGCTGTTGTCCCCACGGTTGTGGCCCTCCCCCCGCCCCCGCACACACCCCCCCCGCACCCCCAACAGACGGTGGAGGAGAAGCTCAAGAAGCGGCTGGAGTCGCCGGACGTCAAGGTCGAGAAGTGAGTCCTTTGCGGGGGGAAAATTATAAATAAGTGCGGGGGGGGGCTGTGACCAACCGTTAGCAAGCCGGAGGAGGAGGGATGTACGGCAATCCCCACTTGCCGGGGATGTGCCGCCGCCGCTGCTCCACCTCCCCCTAGCGCAAACGGGTGCTGTCCCCCTCCTCCATGTGTCCTCTCCTCCGCCTTCATGTGTCGGGTCGCTGATACCTTTTGTTCTCGTGTTCATCCGGGCAAAGCCGCAAACACTTTCTTCCGCCCTCTCCTGGTCACATCAGCAAGGATGTCGGCTGACGTGTTGTTTCCTCTTTACCTCCCTCGCCTCTCCCCTCCCTCCCTCCCCTCCCAGGGCTGCCGCCGCCCGCGAGATCCGCGTGTGGTTCAACGCCGACGTGAGTGAGACCATGCCCTGGGACTTCAAGCCCACGCAGGAGTACGTGCGCGTGAAGCCGGGGCAGAGCACCCTGGTGTTCTTTACGGCAACAAACAAGAGGTGCGGGCGGGCAGGGCTGGGCTAGGGGGGGCAGAGCTGGGGGCATGTGCTGAGGTGGATGGGTGGGTGGGTGGAGAGAGGGAGCTCAGGGCCGGGCTGAGGAGGGCTGCGATTCCCCTCCTCTCGGGGGGGCTGCTGTCGATCTAATCATGCTGGTGGTCATCCGGGCAAGCACCGGTAGTCATCTGCCCGCCTGCATGAGTCCACAGGGTTACGCAACCCCTACTGCAGCGCTCCTCCACCTCCCTGCAACGCTGCCTCCCTCCCTCCCTTTGCCGCTGCTCTCTGCCCTCCCTGGGCCTCTCACCCCTCACCTCACCTCCCCCCACCTCCCCCCCGCAGTGACAAGCCCGTCACCGGCTACTCGCTGTACAACGTGACGCCCGACAAGGCCTCCTTCTACTTCAACAAGATCCAGTGCTTCTGCTTCGAGGAGCAGCGGCTGCGAGCCGGCGAGAGCATCGACATGCCCGTCTTCTTCTACATCGACCCCGAGTTCGCAACGGACTGGAACTGCCGTAACGTGGACGATATCACGCTGTCGTACATCTTCCACAAGGTAAACGGCCAGCCAGCCGACCTCCTGGCTGGCTAATGGAGGTCTTGTGGGTGGGACTGGGGTTGTTCGGATGTGGTTGGGGGTGCGGGCGGCAGGGGAGTGGGCTGCTTCTTGACCTGGTGCTAGCCTACCGGTGTTGAACTGGTGCTATTACCCGTTGGCGCCCCCTCCGCTAACATGCGCCTCCCTCCGCCCCCCAGGTCGAGGGCGAGGAGGAGGAGGAGGACGACGGGCGGCCCACCGTTGTGAAGCTGCACGCGGGGCCGCACCCGCCCGCCGCCCAGCTGCCGACTGGGGTAGCAGCAGCAGCAGCGGTGGCGGCTGAGGCGCCCAAGCCCGCCGCGGCGTGAGCAGCAGCAGCAGCGGAGTGGAGCTGTGGAGTGGAGTGGAGAGGGAGTGGCGGAGAGCCACCCGCGTGGGGTGGACTGGCTTATAAGGGTTATAATGTAGCTTCATGTTGGTTGTAAAGGGTATAATGCAGCTTTAGAGTTTCTTTCATAGCTTGGTTAAGAGCTCCAAAGAGAACTGCGAACGCGGCGGGGCGGGGCGGGGCTCATTCGTAGAGTGGTTGGACGGCTGGTGCTGCTGGTGCTTGGGGGGTCCGCGTTGCGTAGAGGCGCATGTCTCTCAGAGGACTGCTCCCAATCAATACTGTCGAGATAGGGTACGCCCCCCACACACGTGATGAAGATCGCGATGCTGTAAGAGTGCTGTATGTAGGCTGTTTCGTAGTGGGCTGCCCTCTCCCGCTGCTCTCAGGGGCCGGCTGGCTGGCTGGGGGGAGCAGGGAGCAGGGGGGGGGGTATGAGCTTGCGTGATCACAGGAAGGGGGACAGAGGCACGTGGGGTTGCACGTCAGGTGCCCTCCGGGGCCCCCGGCTGCACAAAGCTAGGTTGCTGCGGTGGCGTGTGCTGTTACTGCTGCCACCGGTGTTGCGGTGCTGTGGGCAGCGCCGGTGGCAGTGGAAAGGGTGTCATGGGGGCGGGGGCATTACCGGTGGGGTTTGCAAGTACGTACTACACGTACTATGATATGGATTTGGTTCAATGCGTTCCAATGCATTCGTACCATGTACGATGTAACAGTTTACCTTCCACCCACAACAACCCACAACATTCAAACAGAAGAGCAGCATCACCCAAAGTGCACATCACGTCGCCATCCCGACGTGCGTATGCCCTCCGGCCCCCTCTCACAGCACGACTGACTGTGATCGGACATCAGAGCTGTTCGGGAGCCACGTCGGTCGTCACAAAGCAAGGAAGCATCACAACCGGGTTCATGCACACGGTCAGTCCTCAGCGCCCATATTTCCCCCCTGCCTCCTTCCTCCGCCCAACTCCGCCGCCGCTAATCCCGCCGCCGCTTATCCCTGCCCTCCCCCCGCCTCCTCTCCCTGCACGACCCCTCCGCCCGCTTCTTCAGCAGCACCACCAGCAGCCGCGCGAACAGCGCCGCCAGGTCCACCAGCAGTCGCAACGCGCCCTTCACATGGTCACGGTCCCCCGCCGCCGCCCGTTCCACCAGGATCTGCGTGTCCAGCAGCACGTACCCGGAGAACACCAGCAGCCCAACATACAGCGCCAGAGACCCCGCCACGCCGCCGGCGCTGCCCGTCAGCCAGCTGCCGAGCTGTACGGCAGCGAGGGCGAGTACGGCAGATGAGAGCCAGCCGCCGAGGAAGAGCAGGGAGCGGCGCGCGGAGAGCAGCGCGGCGAGGGTGAAGGAGAGGAAGACGGCTGCGGTGCCTAGGAAGGCGGTGAGGAGGAGGGCGGAGTCCACTTCGATGGCTAGGTCCACGAGGCGACCGAGGGAGGCACCCTGCGTGAAGCTGAAGCCGGCTAGCAGGGCGTAACGTCGGTTCTGTGTTGGGAGGGAGGGAGGGAAGGAGGGATGTGTGCAGGATGGGTTACTTGGGTCTCGAGACGGGCTGGAGTCAAGGGCGTGACGTGGCAACGTTAAGAATCAAGTAGAAGGATGTACAAAAAGGGGTACTAAACTAGGATTCGCGGTGCTGATGCACGCCATATGGAAGGTGGCCAATGTGCCCTTACACATGTCGACTGAGCCCTGTGACGATACGACGCTCGACAGGTTTGAGACAAACGGTGTCAGCATAGGAAGTAGCGCTTACCAGTGTACTGGGCAAACTGGGAGTGAGGCCCAGCCCCACTAGGCATGCGAAACCCGTCAGGTACGAGAAGAATCCCGCAACCCGGTACTGGATATCGAGTGCACAGCCAAGCGCCGCTATTGCCAGGGCAGCAGCTAGAGTTGCGTAGACGCGCTGAAGGTGCTGTTGAATGGGTCGGTCCCTACAGGGAAAAGGAGTGACCCTGGTTGTCGACTCCCGAACAACAGGCAATCACCGCGAGAATTACTGATAAACGCTCAGTGTGCTTACAGATGTCCAAACTTGAGGAAAGTCCCGAATGAAACGCCATCCCAGCGACGACCGATGAGACGCTCAACGGCATCCATCGCCCAATTTTGTGTTGAATCCCAAAGACTATTTATAACTGGTTGTGTATGCTGTAATCAGTTGCACTGCGATGTTGGGTTTGTCTTTTTTGGCCGGGATCGTAGGCAAACCCGTACGGAACATAGGTGTCCAGCTTCCCGTGCTGACCTTTCTGAGTACCTCTTGCTTTCACTGTGTTGCCTTACGACCCAAACATTCCTGACTAAATAGCACAAGCTTAAAAAAAGCAAGAGCGAATTCCACGACATTTGCCCCTCGATAGTCACGCGGCGCATTGCCCGGATTTTCTAGGAGCCACCAGAGCATTGCTGTAGTTGCGCATTCTACTCAAGCCCCCGCTTCGGTGGGTGGCTCATAGAGCTTAGGAAGATGCCCAAGCAGACTGTTAAGCTGGTCTCCGCTGAGGGCTACGAGTTTATCGTGGATTATAAGGCAGCATGCGTTTCCAACACGATCAGGAACATGCTCAGCTCACAAGGTGCGGACACTGTAATGCGCGCCCTCTCCGCAATTGGATGGAAAGAGCAAAATTGCTCATTCCGGGGTTGCAGGTAGCTTTACGGAGACGGAGTTGGGAGAGGTTAAGTTCCCTGAGATCTCGACGCCCATCCTGGAGAAGGTCTGCCAGTACTTCTACTACAAGCTCCGATACCAGAACTCGTGAGTCCACCCACACCCCGCAGCGGCAGTCCTCCCGTCAGCTGGCAGCACGGCTGGATAAGTGCCTGTCCCTCAGGGACGCAAAAGGAGCATGTGTGTGCAGGGGTGAAGGCGCTTGCCCCAGTCCGCCCTGCACACCGCAGGCACCTCCGCTCTGGGTGTTGCAGACACCACCGCACGTGCACACCGCACACGACGTACATGCGACCCCCGGCAACAGACCTGCTGACCCCCAACCAACTACCAGAGCACCCAGGGCCCACTGCCGCTGCGCGCACCAACCTGCGTCGCAGCACCCAGTACCCGCCTCCCGTCCCTGTGTGCAGCCCCCCCGCCCGCCCCCTCGCTTGCTCACATCATCCCCCTCCTCCCCCCCACCCCCCCCCGCCCCCCCCCCCCAGCACCACCAAGAACATCCCCGAGTTCAAGGTGGCCCCCGAGATAGCGCTGGAGCTGCTCATGGCGGCCAACTTCCTGGACACGTGAGAGGGAGGGGGAGGCAGGCAGGAGGGAGGCAGGCAGCCAGGAGGGAGCAGCAGCAGCAGCAGCCTGTGGGAGGGGGGAGGCGCGCGGAGGGAAAGGGGGACACGGCAGGAGGGGGCAGCTGGGGGATGGGGAGAGCTTGGCGGGACAACTTGCGGTGCGGAAGACACGCAGCGGCGGCAACAGTGGCGGCGGCAGCAGCAGCAGTGGCGGTGGAATGGCTGCCAAAGGGGGGAGGGGGATCACCACAGCCGCCAGCCAAGGGGTTCATGGCTGCCGGGCGCTGTGCTGCACGCCTGCCTGCACCCAGTGGCACGATGCGGCGCTTGTGGATGGATATGGCCCGGGATGTGGGGTGTGGGGTGTGGGGTGTGGGGTGTTGGGTGTTGCCGAGGACCGCCCTCGGGAGACGCGTGTGTGGAGACACTTCGGCACAGCTGTCGGGTCGCGACTGGCTGGCTGTATCGGTTGTTTTTGATATCCCGCTGAGGGGGGACACCCCCATGTTACAGCTGTTCAGAAGGGGGTTGCTGCGGTGCTGTGTGCCGTCTGATGGTGTCGTGGCGGTGGCGTCTGATGTGCATGTGCATGGGGACCGCTGGGCACCGTACAGAGGTTGAGTGAGGGAGAGTGGGGAGGTGATAGGGTTTAAGGGACTAGGTTTGTTGAAGAGACATGTCGACCGAATGTTGTAGGCACACGCACGCGCTGGCCTACACAGGTAGCGTCAACGTTTCGAGGTCGGCTTGATGCAGCGCGCTGGAAGCAAGAAACATGCATCCTTATAAGCACTCGGCCCATGCTGGTGGTCATAGTGGGGGGGTTAGCCAACACGCCTGCGTTGGGCAAAGGACCCGATTGGTTGGCAGGAGAGAGAGGGCGGGAGGGATAGATGATTGGGTCTGCAACACACGAGAGACGACCGAAGCTATACTTGCGCGCCTCTCAGGAGGCGGTTGTGTGCAGCCGCTATGGGCGGGTCACTCTACGTTGTTGTGTAAAGCGCGGTTGGACTGCACGCCCCACCCGCGAGCACGTGGGAGGGCATGTGTGATACACACCGGTGCACACTCCCGCGAGTGGGGGGCCGCATGCCGGCAGGACCTTGGGGCGGGTGGGCAGGGAGGAGGAAGTTGTACGACATGTAGCCTTCACCCGGGGGGCCGGATGGGTGGCGGAGCGTGGACTCCCGCAGCGGCTGAGGAGGCGGGGAACACATGCCCACATGTGGTTCTGAACACCCACTTGCAACGCGGGAACACCGAGTGCAGTACCGGTAGGTCCAGCAGCTCGCAGTTGCCTAGCCTAGCCAGTGCATCCCCAAGTGAGAGGCAGTAGACAAGCAGCCGCATCCCAGCTTGCCAACCCGGCAGCTGTTAACGTCCTAGCGCTCGAACCACAGAGGTAGCCGCACCACATGAGGGCATAATGGCGCAGGCAGGCCGGGGGAGCATCGTCCGGTATTCCGGTATACCCCACTCTTTCGGTCTGTGTTTCTGCTTAACACTGCCCCGCCCGGCCCCCCTTCCTCTCCTGCACCTCCCCGCGGGCTGTGTATTGGCGTCTCCTTTGCGCTGCTGGAATGAGCACAGCCGGTCATTTCAACACCCGGCCGGACTGGGGCAGGCAGCGCACGTTACAGGCAGGGCACGGGAGAGGGAGGGACGAGGCGCGACTTTCAGCCCTTCCCTGGGTCTAACATGCGCGCGGTGCATGCGAATGAGGAAGACGCGGTCCTTACAGCTTTGATGAAGGGTGACTGGTGGAAGGCACCGAACGGGGTTGCTATGGCTTGGCTGCAAGCTTAGCACGAAGGGCTGCTAACCAGGGCCATTGATCTATGTAAGATCAAGCCAGCAAGTCACGACATCGGAATTTCCGAGCCTTGTCAGCGGTTGATGTCGAGCGGAAGTAATGATGCACGTGAGACGGACCTGACGGTACGGCGGCTGCATCGTCACAGACGCGTCAATGTTGCGTTGGCATTCCACAGCGTTCAATTGCTGAAAGAGGGCTTGTTGAATATAGGTTGGCTGTTGTTGTTAACTCCACGCGCTAGGCACACGTGCTAAAATGTCGCATACTCTTGCGTCTACTCCTCGCACCGGTATTCGTGTTTGCAAGAACACAATTGCAGATGCCTCCCACATTACTAGGCCAGTTGCGTTGATTCCTCGCCAGGCGACGACGAGCAGGTTCGAAATGGCGATCGTGTTCAAGCGCCGCAAGCGGACGGGCTCTTACAGACGCTTTCGTTAATAGCAGGATGGCGCCGCCCTGCTCTTCCGTTGCACCTGGGGTACCACAGCGCACGTTGGTTTGCAGGTCAGGACAATGGATGTTAGGATTGGGATGGCTACATTCGCTTAACTACCCTGCGTACGCGCACAGGGCCTCTGGTGGCGCAACCATTACCGGCCCTATGCCAAGCGTAAAGATTGATAACGTGCGCGATCCATTTGCCACCGTCCTTACCGTCGAGTTCGGGGAAAAGACGGGCGAGCTGCTGGATGCGGTAAGCAGCGATGTGTTTCGCGCATAGAGAATGGCGAATTACTCAAATTCAAATCAGCCAGATAAACAATTATATCTGATACCAACGCTTCTTTCGTAGATTACTGCGCTTAAGAACCTGGGCTTGAACATTCGGCGAGCCAAGGTTAACACCGCCGGTACCACCTTCTTCATCACCGATGCTGATACCAGCGAAAAGATTGTCAAGTCAGCTCGTCTGGAGGACATCCGCATGACGGTGCTGAACAGCCTGGTGGCCAACTTCCCGGTGAGGGCATCCACTCGGCCATGGGCAGACAATTGTGCTTCGGGTCTATAGCTGCTGCTGAGTAACAACAGCAACATCATTACCAAAAAGAGCAGCCACGGGAATTGCAAAGGGGTTATGTCTCGGACTTGTCTGCGCGTTGGGACCCCCTCTCCTGTGCATGTCTCATCATACCGCACCTCCCCCGACCCCTTCCCCAACCCCCCAAAATGAATGCGCTCACTGCATGAGTCGGGATTCGGGATTGGGATTGTGTTGTTGCACTTATTTATAATTTTCCCCAACCCCCCAACAGGAGGTGGGCGAGGCCCTCTCCGCCGGCTCCAAGGCGCTCGACTCCGAGCCCAACAAGGTCCTGGGCACCCGGCGGCGGGTGGTGCAGACCACCATCGATGTGACCGAGGCTGCCAACGGCTCCTGCTCCGTGCTCAAGATTGTCACACGGGACAGGCCGGGGCTGCTGGTAAGAGGAGGAGGCTGGGTGCGGCTGCCTTTTGTGTGTCATGACGCCCTCCTCTCGCCATGTAGCATGTAGCATGCGTGGTGCTGCGGCACACCCGCCCGCGCCATGGCATCCGTCCCTCCTCCACCCCCCCACTGCTCCCCCCATTGCTTTGCCCTAACTTGTGGTCTCCTATGGTTTGGTATGGTCTTTGACCCCGCACTCTCCCTCTCCTCCCCACCCGCACCCACCCGCCCCCCCTAGGTTGACATTGTCCGCGTGCTGAAGGACATCAACCTCAACGTGGTGTCTGCCGAGATCGACACGGAGGGCGGCCAGGCGCGCGACGAGTTCTTCCTGACCTACCACGGCGAGCCGCTGAGTGCGCCCATGGTGCTGCTGGTCACCAACGCGCTGCAGTACTACCTCAGCCTGGCGGAGGTGGCAAAGGAGGAGAGCTACTAGGGCGGTTAACAGGCGGGGCTGGGAGAAGAGGTGAAGCACCAGGGAGCTACCAGCGGGCGGGAGGGGGGGGAAGAAGAAGTTAAGCGTGAAGGGGGGGACGGAGTTGCGGGCTGAAGGGAGGGAGCCTTGTGCCTGGTTGCTTTGCGGCCCTTGAGAAGAGAAGAATGTTGAAAGTACACGGGAGGCGATGCATGTGGGCGTGTGAGGCATGCCGTGCCTGTATTCTTTTTTAGACTCTATGAAGGGCTGTCGTGTATGGCGCGATTATATTTCATGTGTCGGGCCGCGCCGTGTGGTTTAGTTTGTGAACGCGCCTATGTGTGTATGTGTTGCTAACGAGCAAACGAGGTTTGACGCGAATAACTGCCGCACCGACAGCAGCCACACAACAGGATAGAGTACAATGATGAAGAGGACTGCTGAATTTTGCTATGATGGCTGTGCAGGGATAAAGAAAGTAATTAAGACCACCACAGATGAAATGTAATGGCGCACAGAAGTCCCCCGAGCAGACCTCTGCGCCCTCCTCACCGCCTCCTCACCCTGAATAGCAACCAACGGCATCCAGATTGTACTGAATCGACTAAGCGCCGCATTGCTCCCCCCACCCCTGCCAGCTCACCTAGTCGCAGGGCACCTCACTCAGAGGCCCCTTCCCCCGCACCGCACCGCCCAACGGGGGGCTCTCAATGGTGCTCTGCCGCAACGCCCAACAACACGTACGATGACAGCAAACGCTAGCAACCTGATAGCAACCTACTAGCAACGAAACTTTGAAAGCAACAGAAACACTTCCCGCTAGCAACCCAATCAGCCATGAATGCCCTCCCGGCCTCCCCTAACTGCCCCTAACAACACCCCTCCCCTAGCTCGGCCCGCTCGCATAACACCAACTCTTCCACCAGAGGAGCACTCACACCCCAACCCCTCTTCGGTTCCATTCGCCTCCATTCACCAGGAGCTGGTCGGCTAGTTTGCCATTCTCATTCAACACATTGGGTATTCTTCTTTTACCCCTCTTCCTTCAGTGCTGGTTTCTCCCCTCCACACCTCCCAGCCTCCCAGCCCACCCGCCCAACCCACGCACAGCTGCCCCCCCTACCTCCTCCCTCGCCACCCCCAACACATCCCCTCAGTCTGTTCTTTCCAGCTGGCTTTCCTCCCTCCCCCCTCCCCATGGTGAAGCTTGTCATACAGCTCGTCAGTTTCCTCTACACACCACCCCCCCTCACGGCGGCAGCAGCCCCCCCACCGCCGCCGTGAAGTCCTGCATGAACCTCGCCGTGCTGAACCGCGCCGCCCGCCGCTGCGCCGCCGCCGCAATGCGCAGCCGCTCGCGCTGCTCCATTCCCAGCAGCCGACTGATGGCCTCCGCGTACTCCTCCACGCTGGAGGCCAGGAAGCCGGTGATCTGGGGGGCGGAGCACTGGGGCGGGGAGCAGGGGCGCTCGGAGAGGTGGGGGAGCAGCGAGCCCTCATGGGCTGCGGTCTCGGCGGGGGAGGTGCCTGCTGCTTCTGCTGATGATGATGATAAAGGTGTGGGGGCGTGCGGGTCGGCACCGCCACCAGCAGCACCGCCACCAGCAGCACCACCAGCAGCAGCAGCAGCGGTGTTGTCGCTGAGGGCTGCTGCCGCCGCCTCGTGCGGCTCCAGGGGCAGCACGATGTCCTCAGCGGGCCCGGCTGGGGGGGGAGCGGAGGGGTGGGAGTGAGGGAAGGCGGGTACGGTGTTGTTGAAGGATGGATTAACGAAAACAAGGACGGACAGCTAGGACAGCCGTACACCGGACCTCTCCTCTCCCCAACCCTCCATGCGGATCCATCATCCTCCCGCACGTCGCTGCTCCTCCCTAGTCACCAAGCCGCTACCCCCCTCCACCCCCCCTGCCCCCCCACCCGAGTTGTGTGCAATGGGTACCACCCCCGCCGCCATGTACTCCACCACGCTGATCCCGAAGTGCTCGTCCGTCATGGCGTGCAGGCCGCCCACCGCACCGCCCAGCAGCGACACCAGCTGGGAGTAGGGGGCGTTGGGGATCTGGGGGGGAGGGGTGGGGGTAGGGGGGGCAGGGGGGGAACAGGGAGGAGAGGAAGACCGTTGTCGTGTCACATGGCAGCGTCACATGGCCGTCGCCACATGGCAGCGTCACATGGACCGTTGTTCTTGACCCCCCCTGTGGTTTCCTATGGTTCGGTATGGTCTCTGACCGCCTCCACTCACCCCCACTCCCTCCCCCCCCACTCACCCACTCCACACTATCCCCCAGCCCCAGCTCCTCCGCATAGCCCCGCAGCTCAGCCAGCCTCGCCTCGTCACCCGGCCCACGCACACCGCCGATGAACTTGAGCTTGGCCTCGCGGACCGCCTGACCCTGCAGCGTGGGCCCCGCCGCCCTCTTGGCCGCCGCGAACGCCTGCAGCTGCAGCCGGTGGTTCTTCTCGGGGCGGAACTGCGCCACCGATACCAGGTACAGCTGCTTGAGCGGGCGGTCCAGGGGGAGGGACAGCAGCGCGGGGGTGTCCACGGGCGGGTAGACCTGCGGGGAGGCGGCATGTGTGTGTGGTGTTGATCGCGTGTGCAAGGGGCGGCACGAGGGGGAGGGGCGGGGGCGCCTGCAGGGAAGCTCCAGCAGTGCGGAGAGGCCGACAAGGAGGGGACTTATGGGCTCACGGCGCAGTGCTGCAAGCTGTGCTGTCTCATGTCAACACCGCCCGCCTGGAGTGCCTCCCCCCTCCCACGTCTCCTCCTCCCACTCATGTCACCCCCCCCCACCCCTGCACCTCCCCCCCTCACCAGCACCGGCTGCCTCCCCGTCCACCCCCATAGCCGCCGCATGTGCCGTCGCGTCCAGCTGCTGTTGACCGCCGCCACCGCCACCGCGCCCCCGCAGGCGCCATACCACCCCGCCAGCAGCCAGTAGTAGAGCAGCTTGGCGGCGGACTTAACTGGGGACTCTGGGGGGGTGGGGGGAGGAGGGGGTGAGAAAAAGAATACCCAATGTGTTGGATAAGAATGCGGTGAGGGGGGTTGTGGTGGGGGGGGGTTGCGGCACACACAGGAGGTCGGCGAGGTTGGGGTGTGATGCCCCTGCCTGCACACGCTATGCTGTGCCCCTGCGTGTGTGTGTGTATTGCAGCACACAGCGGCATCGAGCGCCGCAACGCACAACCATCCCCCCACCTCCCACCCTCCACCCCCACCCCCACCCGCTATCTCCGGCCCGTTGTTGAACCCCGCGGCGCCGCTCCACACGCGTGCCAGCATGTCGCTGCTTAGCGTGGGGTAGTGCACGTAGGCCACCACGCGCGCACCCGCCCAGGCGGCCCAGGGGTAGGGGAAGGCCCAGCCCGTGGTGTCAATGAACACCTCCGGCACGCACTGCCGCAGCGCCTCCAGCCCCGCCCCAACCGCCGCCACCGCCTGCCGCACCAGCGTGAGGCGAGGGTAGCGCTCGGGCAGCAGCAGGGGCGCGCGGCGGAGCGGCAGCAGCTGGGGGGGAGCGGGGTGAAAAAAGGATTAGGAATACAAAAAAAATGTGGAATTGGAAACCGGGGTTCAGCACTGTGGAGGTGTGGAGGAGCAGAGGTGAGGGGGAGGGCGGGTGAGGAGGGAGGAGCGATGTTGGCATGACTAAAGCTGCTCTAGCTCATCGCACCCCGCACCCGGCACACCCGGCCTGCCGCACCCCGCCTGCCGCACTACCTGGATGGGTTTGTCGATGTGTATGTTGAAGCGCCGGGCGGCATCGTCCAACAGCTGCTGGGCGCTCACCCCCTCACGCACGTATATGACTACCTGGGGTTGGGGGTTTGGGGTACAACAAGAATATGCAATGTCTATAATGATAATGGCAAACTAGGTCACAGTGGGGTTGAGGGTGGGCGTGAAAGGGTGTGGGGTGAAGAGGAACCTCACGACCTGGGTGTGGGGTGTACGACAGGACTACGGCAGGACAACGTACGGCAGGATAGACGTACGGCCTGGGACACTGCATGTGCCGGTTGTGTAGAAGCGTTGGATGGCAGATGGAGGGTTTGCGGGAGGAAAGAGAGATGCATGTGAGGACAAGGGATCCGCGGTTCTTCCCGACACCAGGCCGTATGCTTGCCTTTGCCGTCTTGGAGGCGTCTTGGACGGCTTTCACGGCGCACCTGTTGCGGACCCAACCCGCGCGAGAAGGAGCACACGTGTAGCAGCATGCTGTCACAGGCTTTGGACGAGCGACCGAGGGAAGCAAGGCATACGGCTTACCATAGCACCCGCTCTCCGCCTCCGCCACCATCCGCAAAGGGATGGAAGAACGCTACAACACCCTGCAGCCCGAGGCGTGCATGCTGTAATTAACATGTTGAGGAAAGAGCAAAGATGGGCCTTAGGGAGTAGCAGTCAGGTGACAGCACCTTCTGTACAGGAGGTAGCGACCTCGCTAGCATGAAGAACACGCAAGCCAACACTACGCTAACCACCACCAGCAAGACAACCAGGCCTAAAAGAATAACAAGCAACGCGTCCATGGTGTTTCTATGTATGACGCCAAGGCGTCCTATGCCGCAGGTGTTGTGAACATCCTGTAGAAAGTGTAGCCGCAGTAGGAGCGGCAGAGTGCAAGCGCCTTCAATGACCCAGATTGTAGCTGAAATGGTTCCGAGCAAGCCAACTGCAAATCGCTCGTCCCTCGCGCCAATGCGTCAGTTCGTACAACGCTTGGCAGCGTCCTCCCCGCTCGCAGCGTTTTCCCGTTGGTTGGCACTTGTTTTTCGCATTGCTTGTTAGTTTTATAGGGTCATTTTTGCCCTGCCTTCGTTTACTGCAGCTCGACAGCGGCTATACACTTCAGTGTCATACTGGGACGATCAGTTTGCCTATCGCCCTAACGTTTTAGTAACACGAGTACAAAGTTACTTCACCCGCCATAGTTGCCGGCTAGCCACCTTTCCTTCACTTCCATCCAGCCGGCGACCGCAACACCAGCAAAATGGGGATCCTCGAAAAGTAATTATTCCATCGCATATACACATTTTATCTACCGTTGGCAGCGGACTGGGGTGATTCACTTCGCCATGGGGCCCCTTTTACTCGCAGAATCAAGGAGATCGAGTTGGAAATGGCCCGAACACAGAAGAATAAGGTGGATAGTACTCCCTTCAGCATAACCCCTTGTTTTAGTTGCCTGCTGAGGAGCTGTCAGGGCGCAGGCAGGGTTCCGAGCAAGGCAGCAGGGTTTCGCGTCCTGACCGCAGAGTTAGCGGCGGCGGCTTGCCAAGCCAAGAGCACAGCTGCAGGCACAACACGTCCCCCTCAAAACCCTTGTCAACCCTCCTCTCCTTCCCTCCTCCCTCTCCCACCCTTCCCTCCCCTTCCCAACCCCCCCCCTCTCCCCCCCCCAGGCCACCGAGTACCATCTGGGTCAGCTGAAGGCGCGCCTAGCCAAGCTGCGAACCGAGCTGCAGGCGCCTGCCAGCAAGGTAGGGGGAGGGGGAGCTGGGGGGACAGGGGAAGGAACTAACCAACCATGGGGAAAGTCAGGGGAAGAGAGAGGGAAGGAGGGGGGTGGGAGGAGAGCTAGGCCATCCGGCGGGCAGGGAGGAGGTCGGGGGGCTTCCTGCCACCGTGGCCTTGGGGATTCAGAGCGGGTTGGGGGAGGAGGGGCGGGCAACAAGGCGGGGTGGGGGGAGGGAGGTGCCGTACACTCCTACTAGCGCCCGGTGGCTGGGGTGCTGGGGTACCTCGGGTGGGGTGGGATGGTGGGTGTGGGTGGCGGTTGGGGCTCCTGCCTGCTGCCTGCTGCCTGCCCCACCCGGGCTGCACCCGCCACCTGGGCTGGCTGGCTGGGCTCCCTGTGCTGCCCCCTTCGTGCGGCACCTGCCCACTGCCGCCGCGGCGAGGAGAGCAAGGCAGCAGCGGGCTGGAGGAGGCTTGGAGGAGACTTGGGAGGTGGCTCGGAGGGGGCGCGAGAGGAGGGTGGCGCTGCAGGGCTGAGGCAGGCCCCACTCCCTTCCTCCCGTCCCCCTGCATACGTGTCCCCCTGCCACCCGCCCCCCTCACACCCTCCTTTCCCCCTGCATCTGCCTTCTTTCCCCCCTCCCCTGTCAGGGCGGTGGCGGGGAGAGCGGGTTTGAGGTGCAAAAGTACGGAGATGGGCGTGTGGCGCTGATCGGTAAGATGGGTGGGAAGGCGGGTGGGCAGGGAGGATAGGAGGCAAGCAGGGAAGCAGGGAAGCGGGGGACATGCGGGGGGCAGCGGACACCCCCGGCACCCCCCTAGGCCCCCCTAGCACCGCACACGCACAGTTAGGTTCCTCCTCTTCCCCACCCTCTCTCCCCCCACCTCACCACCCCCCACCCCACCCCCCAGGCTTCCCCTCCGTGGGTAAGTCCTCGCTGCTGACCCTGCTGACGGGCACGGAGAGCGAGGCGGCCGCCTACGAGTTCACCACGCTGACCTGCATCCCGGGGGTGATCCACTACAACGACTCCAAGATCCAGCTGCTGGATCTGCCGGGAATCATCGAGGGGGCGGCGGAGGGGAAGGGGCGCGGCAGGCAGGCGAGTGGGGGGGACAGGGGAGGGGAGGGGGCGGGGTGGAGGGAGAGAAGGGTGGAGAGGGAGGTGAGGAGCAAGGGCTGAGGGCTGGGGAGGCCGCGCGTATTTCTGAAGCCCTCCCCAACGCGTATGTAACCCCCTCTGCCTCGTGTACCCCCCCTCCCGTCCTGCCCCCCTGCAGGTTATCGCGGTGTGCAAGAGTGCTGACCTGCTGCTCATGGTGCTGGACGCAACCAAGCCGCTCTACCACAAGCAGGTGGGGGGCGAGGGGGGGAGGAAGCTGACGGACTGTATGAGGATGGGGGGGGGAGAGGGCGGGGGGGCCAGGGAAGAGGAGAGAAGAGGAGAAAAGAAGCAAAGTGCCCAACAGCCAGCCAGGGAGGGGTGAGGGCACGATCCGAACGCCCCTAGAAACACCCCCAATGTCGCACTCCCTTCCACCTCCCACCTACCCCACCCCCCCAGATCCTGACCCGTGAGTTGGAGGCAGTGGGCATCCGCCTGAACCGCTCGCCCCCCAACATCTACTTCAAGAAGCGCAAGACCGGCGGCGTGTCCATCAACTCCACTCTGCCGCTCACGCAGCTGGACGACAAACTCATTCAGCGGGTGCTGCAGGTGGGGGGCGGGGGGGGGCAGGGGTTGAGGTACGGGGTACGGAGGTGCAGCACTGCGGTCCCGTGTGTCCTGCAGGCTCGTGCAGTGAGCAGCAGACCCTACCACAGGGGGATGGGGGAAAATTATAAATAAGTGCAACATGGGGATGGGGGGGGGGGTTGGCTTGGAGGACCGCTCGTCAAGCCACCCAGGGTCCCCGGGGCGGGAGGCCCCTCTCCTCTCACTTCTCCTCTCACCTCTCCCCCCCCCCCAGGAGTACAAGCTGCACAACTGCGAGCTGCTGTTCAAGGAGGACTGCAGCGTGGACGACCTGATCGACGTCATCGAGGTGGGGGCTGGGGGGGGGGGGGGGGGGGGGCGGGGCAGGCGGGGAGGGGATCTTTGGGTTTGGGGGAACAGTTTAGTGGGAAGTTAGGCTGCTGAGGGCGGGAGGGGTGGTGGCGGGGGGGCTCCAGGCGGGGGGAAGGCATGACGCCACCCGGGGTCGGCGCCCAGTGCCCCCTGTGCACCCGCCCCTCGGCTCCTCATCGCCTTTGCCGCCCCCCCTCCCTCTCCGCCCTCATAGCCCCGCTGCTTTGCCCTAACCTGTGGCTTCCTATGCTTTGGTATGGTCTTTGACCCCCCTCCCTCCCTCTGTGCGTGTGCCTACTCTCCCCCCCCACCCGCCCCCCAGGGCAACCGCCGCTACATCAAGTGCCTGTACGTGTACAACAAGGTGGACATGTGCAGCATCGAGGAGGTGGCCGACATCGCGCACTGGCCCAACTCCATCCCCATCTCCTGCTCGCTGCGACTCAACCTGGACGGGCTGCTGGAGAGGATCTGGGAGATGATGGCACTGGTGGGTTCAAACAAGGAAACCAACGAGGCAACTAACGAGCTGTGCCCTGAACCGACCCGCGGGTCACTCCCCCCTAACCCCCCTGGTGGCACTGGTTAGGGGGGAGTGACCCGCGGGTCGGAGGTGAAGGGCGCTCCCAACTGCTGACGGACTGCCACACACGCTCCCCGCCCTGCCGTCCCCACCCATCCCCCCCCTCTCTCCCCGCCTCCCCCCCCCCAAGGTCCGCGTGTACACCAAGAAGGTGGGCGCCAAGCCCGACTTCGCGGACCCCGTGGTGCTCACCTGCGACCGCGGCGGCACCACCCTGGAGGCGCTGTGCAGGCAGATCCACAACAGCATGGTGAGGGGGGGGGGGGAGAGGGGGGAGGGAGGGGGGAAGGGGGGAGGGCAACGACTAAGAAATCGTGTGATAAGGCGTCATCATGGAGGGGGGAGGCGGGGGACCTAACTGGGGTGGGGCTCGGTATGCTTGGCGCGCGGGTCACTGGTTTGCCAGCCTAGTCGACATTGCTGGCTCCCTGCTCCCTGTACACCGCACCCGCGTATCGGGAACACCTGCTTCCTTACCCCCTTTCTCCCCCCCCCACCCCCCGCAGGTGTCCCAGTTCAAGTACGCGCTGGTGTGGGGCACCAGCTCCAAGCACTACCCGCAGCGCTGCGGGCTGAGCCACCCGCTGGAGGACGAGGACGTGGTGCAGATCGTGAAGAAGAAGGTCAACACGGGCGAGGACGGGCGGGGGAGGTTCAAGACCACCAGCGACAAGCCGCTGCGGATAGCGGACCGCGAGAAGAAGCCGGCGCTGAAGACGTGAGGAGCAGGAGGAGGGGGGCGGGAGGAGGGGGGCGGGAGGAGGGCGGGAGAGGGAGGGGACGGGGGCGGAGTGGAACAAAGCGCATGTCCTTGTGGGCTGGAAGGGGCGGAGGAGGGTTCAGGACAGGGGTGGGTTTGCCTGGGCAGTAGGGTGGGCAGGGAGCGTATGTGGTGGCAGGGGGGCCAGCGTGCGGTGTCGTATGCGATGCGGACCACGCGGTGCTGGGGGCTGGGTAGGTGAGGGGTGTTGTGTTGTGGGGGGACATGGATGCGGGCCGGCCGGCTGCGGGTGGGCTTGAGGTGGGTTGTGTGTCGTGACGAGGTTGGGCGGGGGGGGGTACAGAGGAAACAGGGGGAGAGAGCAGATGGTGGAGGGAATAGCAGGAGGTTTGGGAGCAGGTGGTTTGTGTGACGGTTAGGACTTGGGAGGCACTGACAGCTTTCAGCACGAGGAGGAGGAGGAGGAGGTGCCGTGCTGTGTGGGGCGCTGTAGTGCTGCCGGCATCGAGGTGTGGTGTGTTACGAAAACGGGTCGTGTGCTGCTAATCAAGCCAGCGAGCCTCCCGTAATGCACATTTCAGCACATATCGGTACACCGTGGACTGATTGGGGAGGGGGGTGCTGCGGAGCTCCCGTCAACATGTCGTGACATATGGAAAGAGTCTCGCACGGCAGCAGAAGCAACACCAGCAAGTGCCCCATAGCGCTGTGGCTCTCCCTCCGACCCACGGGTCATTAGAGGCAGTCCGCAGCGCAGTAGCAGCAGCAGCTATAAATGGCTGAACTGCCGCTAGTCCATGCTATGTACCACACACAAACGAAAGAATGCGTGCCTTGACTGGGCCTTCTTGCCGGCAGCAGCCCGCAGTGCTAGGGGGCTGCTGCCCAGCGGAGCAGTCCTCACCGCGGGGCCGACGCGCGCAAGGGCCGGCTACGGTTCTCCTGCCAAACAGCATATATCTATTTCTTAATAATGAAATGAAATTCACGAGGGATGTTTAAGGAAGGAGACAAGACGGGACGAAGAAGGTTTTTGACCTTGTCTCCTTGGCAAGGCGGTTGTATATATGCTTGTAGAACTGGGTTGAAGCTAAGTCTGGAAGAGTGTTTACGCAAGGACTACTAAACTGCACACAACTGCAAACTTCAACCGCTACCATAGTCTCTGAGAATCCGGATTGGCAAGGGGAATCTACGGCTGGGCTGCACCGGATATCTGGAGCACAGGCACGCCATGTGCTGGGGGCGTCACGTAACGTGACCAAGGCCGCATGCCCGACTCTCGGCCTGGTACGTCTTTCGCTCCTTTAACATGCCTTTCTTCAGGAGTTTCTGGAAGTTTTAGCAGTTGGTGCTTTGTACAAGGATCAAAGTTGGCAGTTGGCTGCTAGGGATGGAACCAAGAATACGTGGCACACCCCGTGGACGAACGTGTTCGTATATTATTAGCGAGGCTATCCTGGTTAGTGTTTCCAAACGACCCAAATTCGTGAATGTTTTTGTTTTTTACTGTCTTACTACGGGAATAATTGTGCTCTAAGGTCCTGGGCCGGCCATATGTTAAGTCCCTACAGTTAGCTAGGATAGGCCAGCAGCACCTGCTGTGGGGGCCGTAAGCATGGCGCCCCGGGTTAGCGCCTTTGAGCGCTTCACGGCAGGCCTTCTAGCGATAGTTGCGCTTACTTGCTACCAACAGTTGGCAATGCCCTATTGCCTGCCCCAGCCTCACGCGTGGCCGAACACTCTTCCCCACCATTCCTATGCTATTTCCGACTATCCCTGCAATGGTAGTGGTTTATCGCGCATGCTGTATATCCTTTGGAGGGCTCCTTGGGTGCTCTGGGACATTGTTCGCGTGCAACGCGACGAAATATGGCTGCCTGTGGGAGTTTTGGCGATGTTCGTCCGTTTTATCGGAGCTATGGTTTTACCGGCAGGCATTTACAGTCAGGTGAGTTGAAATGCTTTAGGGAATAGACGGCATTCTTTGACGTCCGACCTACCGGTACTGGGCTTGGACACACTCTTACTTCGATATCTGTTTGCTACCAGGTTGTGGCGCCGGTCACAGCCTACATATCGCGCGCCACCAACACGGTCTACCATGTCCTTAAGGGCCCAAGCTACAAGCCGACCTATATCGCCGTGGCGAGCCTTTTCAGCAAGCATGCTCCCTTCGAAGTCGTCACATTCCTTTCCCTGCTGGGCGTCTGGGTAAGCATCTCCACCCGGTCGAACCCATAACATTCCCACACGCACCCTGCCCATCTGCCGTTGCGACCCTTCATCCTCCCCTCTCGTGCCCTTTGGCTCAACTCGTGGTTTGCAATCATTCGTCAGGGCATTCATCACGGGTTGCCAGGGTTGTTACCAACTCCTGCCCTTTTCAGTTACCACAACTCCCTCCCTCCCCTGCTCCTGCCCTCCCTGCAGCGCCCCAACATGCGCCTCGAGCTGCTCTACTGCGGCTGGTGCGCCGCCTCACTGGCGCTGCTGGTGCACTGGTACACCCCCTCCGGCCTCCTGCCGCCCGCCACCTCCGCCTCCGGGCAGGTGCTCAGTCGGCTGCTGGTGGCGCTGGCGAATGTGTGGTTGGAGCGGGTGGTGTGCGGGAGGAGGGAGAGGAGGGGCGGGCGGGGGGCAGGAGGGGTGACGGGGGGAGCAGAGGAGGGGAGACAAGGGGGGGAGGTGGGTGGGGGAAAGGGCGTGGGAGGAGGGGTGAAGGCGGCGGAGGAGGTGGCGGCAGGGTGTGCGAGTGGGAGTGTGGGAGGTGGGGGGTGGCAGGGGGCGGCGGCAGGGGGGCAGCAGCAGCAGCAGGTGCTGAGGCAGCGGCGGGCGGGGAGGGGGTGTCAGGAGGGGTGTACGGAGGAGGAGGCGGTGCGGCTGCTTGCGCCCGCTGCTGCTGCTGTGGAGGAGGAGATGAAGGAGACGTTGAAGGAGAAGACGGGTGCGGTGGAGGGTGCGGCGGCCTGTGCGGGGCCAGCAGGGTGTGTCCCCGGCAGCCGGGACC